GCGCCATCGCAAAAAGGTTAAAGCATAAGCAATTTAATTAAAATTGACTTTAAAGAACAAATTGCAGTGTTTTGCATCATGAACTTTGTATGAATATTGTGTTATAGAAATATTAATACAAAGTCACTCAATAGGGTTACAGAAAGAAAATAATTTTTAATCCTCTGAGAGATGCAATACAAAAGTTATGAGTTCAGGTGAAATGGATCTTCTAGATTCATATGTGGCATTTGTTTATTCCAATTGAAAATAACTTGTAATCATACATTCAGTTTTTTCAGAATGAAATTTTACTTGTAACACAATGCATTTATTTTGGAAATATAGCAGTCAAAAAATTATAAATCTAAAATGAAATTTTTTGCTAAATAGCAAATGTCTGTCAAATTAAATGTAAAATAAAATACCTAATTAAAAATTTTCAGTAATAAAATGTAATGAATTTAAAATTTATTTTTGGAATAGCTGAAAATGTAGCATTATTCAGAGAATATCTTTTAAAAATATATGTATTTTTTCAAGCATATCCTGAGAAAAAGTTAGCCTTTTTTGACTATTTTTTTTTTTCTTTTGCAAATTAAATTATCTGTCAAATTAAATGTAAAATAAAATACCTAATTAAAAGTTTCAGTAATAAAATTAAACTTAAAAATTTATTTTTAGAATACTTGAAAAGGTAGCATTATTTAGAAAAAATCTTTTAAAAAAATGTATTGTATTTTTTCATGCATATCTTGACAGAAAGTTTGCGTTTTTTGACTGAATTTTTCTTTTCTTTTTTTGCTTCTCTGTTTTTGTTAAATCTATAGGAATTTTGCAGTTAGTTTTAATAATTTTTCTTGAGAGTTAGAATAAGTTATATTTCCCTCCATATCCAATTAGAGTTCAAGCAAGCGCAGATTGTAATTTTATTGGAAAACTAATTAAGATATATGATAAAATATTGAAAGTTTAGCAATGAAAAAAGTACTTTTGCTTATTTAGTTGCACACAATATTATAAAAAATTGGTTTGTAAATTCATTTCAGCATGTACGAATCTGTAACATTCGGCAATGCAGCACTGTTTTGGAGGTTTCTAAAATTTCATCACAAAATTAACACAGTTGCTGATTAAAAACTCTGTTTTTAAAATGTTTTCCCTGATTTATATAGAATATTAGCAGCTATTATGTGTTTCTAGAGACTTCTTTTGCAAAAAATATTCAATTCAAAGTTGGAAAACCTTCCTTATTAGTAAAAGTTGCCAAATTTTAAAAATGCATCAAGCCTGGCAATCATGCACATAACAATTCTTCAGTGTCAAAAATGCAACCTTATCTTTTTCATATGCATTCTTTTTTATGTATTTCAAGTTCCAATGGTTTTATAAACATAGTGTGATATTTTTTGCTTTAAACTCAGTTTTAAACTGTGTGCTTGTGTGATTTGCCAGTAATGGAGGAAATTATCTTAAAATTTCTGCAGGAATATGATATTCTACCATAAAATTGCTAAAGAGAATGAATAATTTGAATATATTTTTTAATGACTATCAAGAGAAATCTACTAGGACAAAACAAACAAAATTCTGTTTGCAAGTAGCTTTATTGATTGATTTTGGGGATAAATACCATAAGCATAAAATATGTATACATAAAGTATAAAATATGTATAAAATATGTATACATGTAAAGCATAAAATATGTATACATGTAATAAATAATTTTTTGCAATTTTCAGTCTTTCTTTTTCATCTATGAAATATCACCAAATTCAATTGTGCTAATACATGAGTAACGTTTACTTTGTAAGGTTTATTTTAATTTACTTAACCAGCTATTTTATGGTAACAGATCTGTACTATCATATCTCTCCATTTTCCCATCAACATACAAATTAGTTATGTATTTAAGTGAGGGTTTGAGATTGCTTAGAGAGAGCATACTCTGCTTGCTTGCTTAGAGAGCGCGTGTTCTTCCTGCTGAAACTTATGTTACTAGTTTGCTGTTTTATGATAAGAAATCCTGTCCTCTACATTGATTTATTCTTGCCAGTAGTGCTTTCAACTCAGTATGAGCTAAGAGCCAACTTTCACGTTTAATTTACTCCATAGCTTTTACGTATTTGATACTTAAATTTAGTTTTAAATTTGAATTTTCTGCTTTGCTCACAAAAATTGTTGGCTGATCAGTAAGCACCAGGCGTGCTTTCTGTTCAACTTGCTTAGTTTTAAATAAAAGGGTCTTTTGCACCCTTGTTCATGTTCCTGTTTTCATTTTTGATGTAACGATAAGTCACTTACAGTCTTGTTGAGGATTAGCCGCAAGTTTAGTAAAAGGGAAATCTAAATATTTCATAGAAATTTTAGCAATTTTTAAAATGTGCTAATTAAAAACAAATCAGTACTTTTTTTTGAAAATAGAAAAAATGGGGTGGGGGACCATTTAATATTATGTGGCATGGGTCAGTCATAAACTGAAGATGAAAATAAGACAGTTACTATAAATTAAAACATTTTTGTGTGAAATAAATTTTCGGGCAGAACTGAAATTAAGTACCAAATTGTAGATGCAAATAACTATAAAATAATTCATTTTTGCAAAGCTTAGTATTTAGCCATAATTTGAAACGTATTTACAAAAGAGTCCAGTTTTTTTTGTTAAAAAAAAAAAAAAAAAAAAAAACTGTCCCAAATGGGATATTAATCCTAAAATGACATTTTGTATTGAAACACTTAAATGCGTTCACTTTTAAAATTTTTGCCACCAAGTATTATTGTCCTGTATGGTATTTAAAGAAATTAGATAATTAAAAATCTGCATGAAAGTACATATGTTTCTTGCATTGTAAAAAAATAACGGTACCTAGAACCATCAAATTTTTTATAATGTAGTCCTCTACCTGAACATGGGCACCTGAAAGCCTGAATTATTTATTTTTTAAATTTTTGTATTGTGTATTATCTGTTTCATATTTTGTAAAACTTTAACAAATTTTTTATTAAACTCAATTAACATTTCAATGATTTCAGACAAGCAATGGCAACATTGTATGGGAAAAAAAAAATTTTATCTCCAGTGCATGAGACTGCCTACCAGAAATTCTAAACATATGCTGTTTTTAAATATTTTGTGATTTTGCTGTAGAATCAAATTTTATGTGGCATAAGTGCCAAGAACATTATATTTAATAAATAAAGTAAACACACAAAGCGTTGGTAATAAAAAGACACACAAAAAAGTTTTATAAAGCCATCTTAGTAAGAAAACTGAACATTGATATGTTAAATGGAGAAAAGATTGGGATGGGAACAGAATACTGTATGCTAATACTTAACACTGCATCGAGAATCGTAAACATGTACTGCTTTTAGAAATTTTATAATTCAGCTGTTGAATTGTATGTGGCATAAGTGTTCAGAAAAGGATGCTTAATAATGAAACAAAAAAGAAGTAGGTTTAGTATGAGTGGGTGTAACAGCAGACTGGTAGACAGTGAGCTGAGCGAGAGCATAAAAACTTTTAACAAACCCTTTTGGGTGACTGTTAAAATCTGAAACCTTTCAGGTTTTTTTTCTTTCATTCTTTTTTTTCCCCTTCTTCCTTTCTTTTTCAGAAATGTATATTGATTCAGTGCTAAAACTAAATCTAATATGTATCATAACTCATTTGTTTTAAGGCATGAAAAGAGCATTTCAAATTTTTTAGCTAGTTTCTAGAAACACAGGTTGTGTTTTTCCTTTTTCTTTGTGCATTGTGCATATGTAGATAGTCATGTATTATGGGATCTACCACTTTTAGTTCATTATTAATTTTAAAATAGTTTCAGTAAAAGTGGTTGTGATTTTAGATTACCATATTATTACACCTTCGTATTTTAAAATAGTGTTTTATTGGGGCCATCTAAGAAATAACTAAAAGTAATAGATTGCACACTATATGTATTACTCATATACTCTTTTGCATATGCCTTTACAAATATGTTTTTTCTTGAATGAAACTGTGTGCTGATTTGAGAGGTATTTGTTTTCTCCTCAGTATATTTTACCTAATAAAAGGGGAAAATAACATATTATATATATAGTATTGAAGGTATAGCTACATGAAATTTTGTGAATTAACTATTTTTTAATACTTGACAAAGTTTTAATTACATTTAAAAATACCATAATTAAAAATATGGCATTTTAAACTTGACTAAAATTTTTATATGTTAAATATAGTAAAAGATTTGAAATCTGTGCAGCTTCACCCATGTTAACAATGAAATGTGGATTGTTTTAGCTATTTTTGTCAACAATTAGGCATGTTTTGTCACTGTGAGGGAAGCTACCATACTCTATTGATATCACATTTATAATTGTTGGCAAATAAATTATTTCCCCAAATCATTAAATTTTTCTAACTATGATTAACTCTGTGCTGTTTTAATTGAGCAATTAACTTTTTGTTGAGACTAGAACTAAAAATGATGCTTTTTCATCATATCAAAATGATAGGCTTTTTTTTAAAAAAAAACACACACTCTCAATATTTTTGCAGGTATCTCTTGAATATATAAATTTAGAGTATAAGACTATATAAATAGGAAATCTGCAATTATTGTTACATAGTTGAGGAGAGTGTTCAAACTAAAACACCATAAAGTTTTAAAGCAAGCAACTGTAAACAAATGTAGGGGGGGGTTGTAAAAAATTATTTTTACATATATTTATCCTTATTTTCATTTTAAGTAAAATTATATTTAATACTTATTTCTCTATTAAAACAGTCCAAAAGAAATGAATTGCATTTATGTTCCTTAAAAAATATTTGTTACGTATTTATGTGTATATTTTAATTCTTTCCTTTTTTGATCTACATATAAGAGTTTTCCATTTATGACCTGAAATCCACAAGATTTTAAGATTTGGTCAACCTCATGTTCCAAGCTGAACAGATTTTTGATCTTCTGCTATACTTAATTGGAACATTTTATACTAGTGGAATGAAATCTAATCAATATCTATTTTAATTGAAATTCCAACTGATTTTTAGGGATGGCTGTAGACCATTTATTGAAGTATACATTGGCGAAGACAGAGTTTTCACTACTTCTCAGGAATATGAAAGAATTAGGTAATATATGTTAAAATTAAGTGCATTTCTGTTAAATTGGTACATATGGCTTTATTGAAAAGATCAATCCAAGCATAATTCCTCTGTTAAATTGTAATTATTAACTTTTTGCAGCTGATTTTCTCTGCTCAGAAGTTACTTAAAATTATAAAAGTTACAGGGGAGGGGAAAAAAAACTGATTTCAATAAAAGTAAACCTGAGTAATGTTTTTTTATTAATTTTATTTTGGACTGATAATTTGGTCTTGAGATCTTTTTATAAAAATTATTGTTCAGAATTGTTATTCATTTAAAAAATTATAACTTTTAATAATTTTCAGAAAATTAAACTTTGTTTTACCATTTTATTTCGAATTTTAAAACTTATATTTAAAGTGAATTTATGTGTGTTATACTCTTATTTTGAGCACAATTTTTGTCATACATTTTAATGAAAATATTTAGCTCAAAACTCATTTTTATAATCATAAAACTCCCATTTCAGCAAGTCTTTATTTGCATCTGTTTTGTTTCAGCCAGAAGACTGATGTATATATATATATATATATAAAGGTAAGATGTGTATATCACACAAGGCCTTTTACAGTCAGCATCAAAGCAGCCATGAATGGTTTTTTGAATCTGAAAATGCTTTATAAAAATCTTAATACATTAGGCAGAACTAGAAAGTTACTCGGAATTGAATTCTTAGAAAATGACAGTGGTACTTTTATACATCAGAAGACATACATTAGAGAAATTTTTGAAAAATTTAGATACTTTCAGATACCAATAACTTCACTTCCCATTGTTGAAATTTCTTGGCTATTTCAATAGTACTAAATCATACAAGTTAAATTTAGGATTAAACATCTAAATGTATATTATTGTTCAGATGCTTATTATATGCAAGTATAGTGATGATCGTGTATATATGGATGGATTTATATTATACTGAGACAAAGTGCCAGTAATTTGAAAAACTTGTAAACATAAAAGTGTATGCTTATCAGCTATGGAGGTAGAGTATAATGCTTTATCAGAAGCTGCAAAGGAGTTGATGTGGACGAAAAGTATCTTAAAAGATGAATTTGAAGTTCCGTTTAAAAGAATGTAAACTGTTTTGTGATAATAAATCTGCTAATGGTTTTTCTAGATCACACATAGAAAATAAACTAGGCACATTAACTTGCAGCATCGCTTTATTGGAACACTGCTGAGTGATGGAGTGTTTGAGTTGTGAGTTCATCTCCAACAAATTAAAGAATGTAGACTTATTTAAGAAAGCAGTAACTGCTATGGATTTGAAAAAGTTTTGTTTAACTGTTTACAATATTCAAGAAAAAGTATTATGTCCATGTTATAGAACTGAAATGTGTAATTTTTTCTAAGTGTATGTCTGTAATTTTTTTTTTACTTTGCATGAGAAAAAGAAGGCTGTTATTGGCTTAATGTTTTGCTTTTCTCATGCAAATTTGATCAGAGGTCAGTTGGTGGTAAACTAAGGTGTTGCCCCTGATTGGCTGTTGATGTAGTATTGGCAGATTGCCCATTGGCATATTGTGATGTATTTAAATGGAAGTCTGTGAGCTCAGATGTACTCACTCAGTTTTTCTTTTGCTTTGGTTTGAATGTAGAGGCTGCTGTTGCAGCCTAGTTGTTTTAGAGTAAAATAAATGTTAGTTTTGTTTATATATGTTCTGGTGATATTATTTCTGAAAAGCTAAGTATGCGTTTTTAGAAATTGCTGCACTTCCAATGCCACACACCTCCATCTCCTGTGCCAGGTGTAGGCATATTTGCTTGCTTGAGTGTCGACTCTTTAACTATGTAATATTTTATATTTTATTTTCACTTCGCATCTTCCTGATAGTGAAAGAGCCTCTAGATTTTGCATTTCATCTGTGCTTAGGTCCCTAGACATTGTACCTGCTAGAACCTGCAGTGCTTCTGCTGATGTTCTAAAAGCTGAGGGCATTTTGAGTAGCAATATTTGCTGGATCTGTTGTAGCTTTTGACACATCCATGCTGTGTTGTTCATCCACACTGGGTTGCTATATAGGATCATTCGTTTTATGGCCTTTAAGTGCAGTTCCTTAGTACAATTCTTTCATGATTCCATATGCTATTCACTGTTCTGCTGTATTTATTTATTACTTGGTTTTGCTTTGTCCCTAACTGAAATTAAATGGGCGACTCAAGTTAATTTCTTATCCAGTAAAGTGTAGGTAGGTCATAGTATTTTGTTTTCTTAAGGAGATCCCCCTGCCATTTTATGCATGGGGGATTATCTGCTAATTTTTATCCTTTCACTAATATGTTCATCTGTCTTTTCTACACTGGTTTTAAGTTTATGTTGCTCTTCAACACAATTTCTGCTTTCTTCTCTATTGTGCTTTAATTTCTTCCACTGATTATCAAGCTAAAATTGTCAGCATATGACTGGGTTTGAGCATTTTCTCCTTGAGAAAATATCCAGCTTTAAAGCTGTATTAGCTATTATGTTCCTGAGTATAGGTCCTATATTCAAATCCTGGGCTTCTTTTGTTGTATTCTGCTGTAACATTTACTGCATTTCTATTGTATGTTTTTTATCCTTTCCTCCATGTAGCTTCTTACTAGTTTGCAGAGAATCAGAGGGCATCTAAATTCTTTGAGTCTTGCTTTCAGCACCGGCTGTAATGGTTAATTAAAAGCTGATGTTACATCCAAAATGGTTATGCTAGAATGCAGATTTTCTCTTCTATTCTGGAGTATGGTTTCTTTGATATTGTTAAGAACATGTATAGTACTTTTACCTTTAGTGAAGCCAAGTTGTACAAGGCTTACAAGGATATTCTTTTTAAGATGATAGGTCATTTATTGAGTAACCATTTTGTGTAAGACTTTCCTTCCATATTTTTCCTTGAGTTTGGAAAGTACCTTAGCTCAAGGCATTTATTTAGACTCTGAACTAAGAGGTCTTTATATTGCTTCTGTTGTGAGATTGTCTGGTCATGTTTCTTCTAATTTCTGAATATGAAAAGGTAATGCCAAGGTGTAAACCTTTGAACTATTCACCAAAATATGTTGCCTTACAACTGAAACTTATACTTATTTATGCAGCTTGAATTAGTTAAACGGGCAAATTTTTTACAGTGAAAAAATTGATGACTATCATTTCTTTTTGAATCACGATTTTCATTTATAGCTAATGTAGGATATAAATATTGTTTTAGCAGTTGATGAATACTAGAAATATGCTAAAATTTCTAGCTAGATCATGAATACTAGCTAGAAATCTGAATTCCAAGACAAAATTTTCTTGATTAAACATCCGTACATTTTTTATTAATTTATTGTTTCTTTCATTGAAAAATATTATAATTTACTAATGTTACATATTTTTAATTTTCAGACACTTTAATCTTACAGACAGTGAAGTGAATATTCCCTTAAAAACTGTAGTTTCAGGTGATATAACAATAGTAGCATACCATGCAAGATCTACGTTTGGAGGGAAAGTGCAAGGAAAGGTACTATTTTAAAATAAAATTCTTAAACTAAAACTTCATGAATATTGTTTTGTACTTTTTCTTCCGTTATGTACAGTGAACTTTATATTGGCATTTTCCTCTGTGAAACAACCATCATACCAGTAGTATTTTAAATACGTGACCATCTCTAATTGAACGCAAAAAGTGGCTGGAATTATTAGTTATCATCCTAGAAAGGAATTATTGTATTTAGTTCTTTTAGAATTATAATTTTTTTATACTAGTTTTTTTTTTTTTTTTTTTTTTTTTTTTTTTTTTTTTTTTTTTAACAATATAGCAAAACTTATTAAGTTATAGTGACTTTTGGGAAAGCATTGCCAAATTTGGTGATTTTCGGTATTGGTTTTGTTAATTATGGAAAACATTATGTTATCTAATTAAAGCAATTCTTAATGGAATGATAGCATTAATTTAATCTCCATTTGGAAGTCATAGAACTTAGTGAATAGATATTGCAAGAAAACTAAAAATATTCTTTACTTTTGCTTTTGTAAGCAAAATATAAATTGCTGCTGATGTGAGTTAGTTTACTTCAGCATAGATTTTGATAAGAAGCCATGACCATTAGCTTAATGAATTATACCAAACTGTTCACTGTTAAGAAGGATTTAAAAGCTGTGTTTTTTGGGGGAAAAAAAAAAAAAAAATACTAGATGCACCTGGGAGGGAGATTTCAATATTATAGTAGCTTATATTGTGTTTTAAGTTTGCCTGGTTAATGAAGCTTCTGGTGCCATAATGGTAATGTCCAGTAGCACTTTGAGACCAAAAGTTTATATTACAAAATCGGGGAATGAAAAGCTCTTTTGTCTTATTTTATTGGATCATCATTTAATTTTGCATAAAAGTTAAAGAACATTATGAAAAATAATGTAAATAAAAAATTTCAAGGCTATTAACATTTCATATATTTTATTTATATTAATTATGATTTGTCATGCAAATTTATAATTAATATGAGAATATTTTTCATGAAAAATTTAAAGCATGAAATATAGTTGCATTATCTATATTGAAAGAACAATGACCTCGAATTCTAAATTTGAACAAGAATGTCTTCTGTAGAATTTTAAGTGAAGAGCAAATTTTGTTATCTTTTGCTTATCTAGATGCAAAATAAGCATATGTCAAATTTTGTTCAGAAAAGAAGGTTCAGTTTTCAAGTCATCAAAGCATAATTCTTTACACCATCGTCTTATAAAATGAATTTTTTTATTTAAAAATTTTATCTTTGTTATAGAAACATATATATTGTTAGACTGGCATTAAGAAAAAAAGAAATATAGGAAACTAATTTCTGTTTTCTTTCGTTCCTTATTTCACGAAAGGCTTTTTAATTTATTACCTTTTAAAAATAATGATAAAATTTTAAATGGAATAAAAAGGAGAGACCTATGCCCTGAATTTTCAATTGTTGCTTTAAAGCCTTGTATTTTGCAGCTAAGATATTAATAACCTTGACAATCAAATGAACTCGGATAATGTATGGATTGCTGATATTTAAGACATGATTTTCTTTTTTTTTTTTCTGCTAGTTTTACTATTTTAATTTTCAAGCATTGTATTTAAAACCTCCTCTTGCTGTTATCAATGACTCTAAAGTTGTGTGCTCTTTTTGTTAATGATGCCTAGCATGGGAGAAAGATTATACAGAATTTAATAATCATTTTGAAGTCTAATATTTATATATGTGAGTTTTTAAGTGCTGAATGCTCTGTGTTACTGACTATGTAAAGCTGAATGTATGGAATATATATTCTTATTTATTTGAAAATTCTGGTAGTGTTTTTAATAAGAGTAGAATATATTTAAGTATTTATCTTCAACTGTATTTTTGTAATCACATACATGTAGTGAAGTTCCCCCCTCCACCTGTCAACCTAATTGTTCAAAAGAGCAAATTCCATTTATTAACACAAAACTGGTGATATTTATAATTGATCAATAGCCTTGTGAATAAGAATAAGGAATGCTGGTATTCCATTTTAAGCTTTATCTCATACTAAATAAATGGTTGGCTGTAAGTATATAATAAAAATATGAGCCTATTTTCTTAGAAAGCTTTCCACAAAGAACAGGTAACTTTTGAGTGCTTGACAAATGACTTAACCTAACCTAAAATAGATTCAATTATAATATAATATATAGTTAATTTATTTGATATATTCTTTGTAGAAGCGAGAACTATTTCTGTTATTACAGAAGTTGGGAATTCGTGACTAATGTTATTTTAAATGAGTCAGTTGCATGAAATATCAGAAAACAGCAATGAAGTATCTAAGTGACTTTGATTCAGTAGGTGTGAAGAAAAGTGTCTTCTGCTGCATATTAATTTTCTGCATTTTAAAATTTTTTCAAGCACTTGTTTAGTTGTTATGAAATTTTTCCAAACATTCATTTAAAATATATATATATTGGTTAGAATTTGATAAACTGGTTAACTAGCAACAGTGTGAGAAATCACACACAATAAGTTCAATAAAAGCAAAATGCAGAATAGTTTCTCAGAAGAAAAACTCAGTTGGCATTTTCAACCAAGAACTTAACAGCCTGATTTGCTTTCTTAGAAGTTATTCTTTTTCATATCGTTGCTTTCATTCGTGAGGTGCATTTTTCGAATATTTGGAGTGATCATTTCTGCATTATTTGTAATTGGAGGAATGTTGTATAGTCCTGTAAACTTTAGTTAAAAACATAATATGGCCGAAATTTAGATATTTATGACCAGAATGAGGCATAAACAGTATAAAGGCATTCATATCAGGTTAAGGCATAAAGAGTGTGTATCAGATTAATGATATATTATCTTGTATAGTATCATTATCAGAAGCTGGTAGCTTTTCAGTCTTCTATGAGTAATGTTTTCATGAAACAAGTTAATTCTGTTGATTTCAATAAAGCAGTTCTTGAACATTGTAGCTTATTTGAAAATTGTTGCAAATGAAGTATATCTCTTTTTGTCTTATTTTTCAAATTTAGTCAAAAATGTGTTTTAGAGTAACGGGTATTTTAAATTTATTATTTTTAAGTTATTTCATTATATGCTTATATTGGTGTTAGAATAATGAATTAATATGTGAGAGTCAATTAGAAGTAATGAAAACCGCACTTAATCTGTAAAAATCTGAAGATGTTGAATGGTTGTAAAGAATAAAGTAATGAAACCTAATACAGTCAAAAGTCGTTAATCCGGACTCGCCAGGACTTCGCCGATTCCGGATTATCGATTTTTCCGGATTATAGATCATTAGTTTAAATCTTGTAAGATGGCATGTAGAAATTCTAAAATTAAAAATTTGAAACTGTAATTTATGAAATAAAGAACAATTATGATCTAAAGAATATCAAAATTTACAAAAAAAAAAAAAAAAAAAAAAAAAAAAAAGCTTAATATTTATTTGTTTACTTTATTAAACATTTCGTTCAATGTAAGTTGTTTCGTTTTATGTGATAATACTTTCTGTTTAATTATATAAACAGACATATTTCTTGTTCAGTTACAAAGTTCCGTTGTTCAAGGTCCCGTAATTGCTGTGCCGAGAATACCGACTAACTTGTCAATCAAAATTTTTTCGTTTTCACACTACCTCTCTGTCCACCTTCTTCATGTCTTTTCCATTTTTTGCAGCAATTCCACTTTTTGTTTGATGGACATCGAACATACTTTCGTTTTGTAGATCCTTTGGGAGCTCCAGCATCGGAAATTCTATTTGACATAATCGAAAATTCAAGTTTACTTTTATGAAATTGCTCTTACGGTCTGCAAAAAATAATAAGTCACATCCAATTCGAAGATTAAGGAACAACGCAATCATCAATAACTGAAATAGATAATTAGATAATTTTAGCTTATACCGTCCGTTATATATTAAACGCGCACGTGAAAACGTATTCTGCGCTTGCGCATACGCATATGCGCAGTTGTAAAGGTCTTATGCACACGCGTAAATGCCTATGCGCATGTGACAACGCGGTGCATGCGCAGAAAGTTTTTAGCTTTGAGGTCTGGATTATAGATCATTCCGGATTATGAGTGTCCGAAATAACGACTTTTGACTGTATAGAGGATGTAAACATTCATTTATGTAAAAAAAATTAAGATGATAAAAAATATATGTATTTATGAAAGCAAAGATGTTCAAAGGTTGTAAAATTTAAAGAAATAAAACAGTTACTAGAAAAAGCAGCTAATGCTATCAAATATTTCCTTGGTTTCGTAAACATTTAAATATTAATTTTTCGCTAAATAATGTATTTGTACGTTGTTCATAATGATGAATAAGCGTATGCAATATCCATCCACTTCTACATAATAAATTTGATTTATTTTATTTCCATTTAATGTGTCCTTTTAACTTTTACACTAAGTTTATATATATAGAAGCTAGTTTATATCATGTTTTCTTTTTTAATTTGTTGTAAAATATTTTATATTGTGTGTGTAATAGCAGTGAGGAAATTTTTTACTTTATTGACAGCCAGTTTAACAAGTAAAACCTGTTTTATTATTACAGTACAAAGTCCGAAATCCGGATGTCCATTATTCGGAATGATCTAAAATCTGGACCTCAAAGCCACAAACTTTTTTTTTTTTTTTTTTTTTTTAAATGCTTTACGCATGCACATTTGATTTTCTCTTCCATAATAAAATATGTGGAGATTTTCACCTAAAAATTCCGATTCTTGATTTCATTTAGGCATTAAAAAAAATACCTTGTTTTGGAAAAACAATCATGTAAGCATAAATTTTTTAGATTAATAATTTGGCTCTGTAGCTGTCATACATCTCAAACTAAAACATTCACCTATTTTATATCCCTGATGCCAACCTGGCGAGTCATTATTTATTATATTTTGCTTTTATCACCGCATGTTTATCAATACATGACAGCTTCAGTTATAACTCATGCCGTGATGTCTAAACTTCTTTTTTATATTAGTAATTGAATAACAAGAGTATGGCAACCTTTTATGCTAACATTACGGTTGGCGATGATTATAAAATGCTCTAAGAAATGTTGACGAGGAAAAATTCAACAAAAATTTCTTTTCATATGCTAAAAATATATTTTGTTAATTAAACTCATAGGCCAAAAGATTACATTTAGTGCTATTTTAATTAAGAATAACTGATATGTTATTCTCCATAAAACCAGAAGTGGTGGCAGAATATGTCAGCACCGGATGGCAGAATTTAGGGAAGACAAAATTTTCGGAATTTGGGGAAGCACCGAGCGACAAAATTAAGGTATGAGAAGTTTTTTTATAATGCAAACTTTTCGTAATTGGAAAACATGCAGAACCTCGAGCGACGATGATTTTCCCTGTTATATATCATGGAAATAAGAGAGCATACTAGATGACACAAACATTAATGAATAATTGGTTTGAAAATCATTTTATACACGAGAATGGGCAACATTTGAATTCGGTTGGTTTACCTGATGACTCAAAAATAGTCCTGATTGTAGACACCTGTTCGGCTCATACTTCACTTAAAGTTTTAGTGAAAGATAATGTGTCTGTATTATTCTTTTCACCAAATTGCACGTCTGTCATTCAGCCTATGGATATCGGAATAGTACCCGTGCTGAAATGCAAATGTAAAGTAGCATTTTTTAAATTCTTGTTAAATTTCTTGAACAATGGCAAGACTATTCAAGAATTTTTTAAATATTTTGGCATAAAATCTGCTGTGTGGAGCATTGCAAAATCGTGGAAGGATGTGTCTCCATATACAGTACAAAGTCTTTAATCCGGACTCATCGGGACTTCGGCGATTCCAGATTAGGGGTTTTTCCCGATTATAGATCATCAGTTTAAATCTGGTAAGATGGCATGCAGAAATTATAAAATTAAAAATATGAAACCGTAATTTATGAAATAAAGAACAATTATGATCTAAAGGGTATCAAAATTTACAAAAAGAAAAAGCTTAATATTTATTTGTTTACTTTATTAAACATTTCTTTCAATGTAAGTTGTTTCGTTTTATGTGATAATACTTTCTCTTTAGTTCCATAAACAGACATAATTTCTTGTTCAGTTTCAAAGTTCCGCTGTTCAAGTCCTGTAATTGCTTTCATGAGAGTACCGACTAACTTGTCAATCGAAATTTTTTCGTTTTCACTAACCTCTCTGTCACTTTCTTCATGCCTTTACCCATTTTTTGCAACAATTATACTTTTTGTTTGATGGACATCGAAACATGCTTTCGCTTTGTAGACCCTTCGGCAGCTCCAGAATCGGAAACTCTATTTGACATAATTGAAAGTTCAAGCTTACTTTTTATAAAATTGCTCTAACAGTCTGCAAAAAATAATAAGCCGGATCCAATTAGAAGATTAAGGAACAATGCAATCTGCAACATTAACTGAAAGAGATAATTAGATAATTTTAGCCTAGCTTATACCGTCTGTTACACATTAAACATGCATGTGTAAACATATTATGAGCATGCATAAACGCATATGCGCATACGTAAAGGTATTATGTGCATGCGTAAACGTTACTTTCTGCACATGCGTAAACGCTACGCTTGGCATAGCTACAAACTACAGCTACAAGCTGTTTGTAGCTGTAGACTAAGTTTGTAAGCTTAGTCTACTTCTTACTAAGCTTACAAACTTTTTTTGTAAGCTGTAGACTTAAGTTTGTGTTAAGATTGTTTGTAGCTGTAGACTGTAGTTGTAAACTTTGAGAACAGCTACAAACTTTCTGTAGCTGTTCTCAAAGCTACAGAAAGTTTGTAGCTTTGAGGTCTGGATTATAGATCATTCGGAATTATGGATGTCTGGATTAAAGACTTTGTACTGTACTTTAAAAAGTGCTTGGCATAATTTATGGCCAGCTACCATATTTCATGGTGAGGATGATTATGACGATAGCTGCGAATTTGAAGGTTTTCGGATATCGTAAACTAAAGATGAAATTTCCCAAATAAATGGATTTTGTTAAGAAATGTGAAGAAGCGATAATAGATAAAGACAATATAACAGAAGAGTTTCATTGCAATGACAATGCCTCAGTCATCAATCAATTAAAGGATGGCGAAATCTGTAGTATGGTTCTAGATCCAGAAAATATCACTATTGTTAGTGAAGAAAGTGGATGAAAGGTTATCGAAGACAAAAAAATTTTGATTGACAATTTAGTCGGTATTCTCGACACGGCAATTACAGGACTTGAACAATGGAACTTTGTAATTGAACAAGAAATTATGTCTGTTTATAAAATTAAAAATTGCTCTTTATTTCATAAATTACAATTTCTTATTTTTAATTTCATTATTTCTGCATGCCATCTTACCAGATTTAAATTGATCTAATATCCGAAAAAAATCTCAAATCTGGAATCGCCGAAGTCCCGACGAGTCCGTATTTTGGACTTTGTACTGTATTATTATTTCATTTGATGATAATAGGTTGGGTACATGTTTATTTATTAAATTTTGAGAAACAAATCTTTATTTTATTTTAATCATGTAATTAAATTTTTTATAGGTGACTGCAATTAAAATCTTCCAGCTGCAACTAAATACTAGTTTTATAAATCCAGGAGTGCAGTCTTTATCATTCAATAGGTATGCAGATGTCTTTTCTGTATAAATTTGCTAATAATCAAGCAATGTTCTTGAATACATACTCAGATTTGTGTTTTTTGTTGTTAGAACGATCTTCAAAATCCTAAGTTTTAAATATCTGTATAAATTTAAAGTTGGGAAAAAATGCAGTCCTTTGTTTGATACCTTTGAAACAAGGGTATTATTAACTTTAAATCAATAATTTTATTCAAAATCTTTGCCAAATTAATTTTTTTGCTCCCTAATTTAAAATTTAGCATTGTCATGTTTCACTGATTTGATCTATATAAATATTCGGCATTTTTTTACTTAGCCATAGCTTATTTTGCTTTAATAGGTTATTTTTATAATATTTAATGTACTGGATTTGAATATTTTTTTGTGTATCACTGCTTAAAGAAAAATGCTATTTTGCATGAAGACTTTATTATGAAAGTAATTAAAAAAGAAGTATTTAGGTAACTAAAAATGGAGTGCATAAATTTATGCTTTTGTTAATATCAGAGCTGTAAAAATACTAGAAATTAATTCAAAGCTAAATCTTTTGATAGTTTTTTTTTTGGGGGGGAGGGAATAATCCTTGTATGCTTTCAAAATACTGTTTTGTAAAATATCAGTTATTATTATTCATGAAACCTATTGATATTCAGTGTTTTATATTTCATTTTAAAATAGGTTACGCCTTATAATTTATTAGTAAGATAAATATTTTGTATAGTATGTACTTGAAAATATTCGTCGTACATTAAGGTTCACTTGGTAGATGTATTATGTATTTATAATTGTTACTGTTTATCTAATTTTTAAACTTATAACTACACTCATGTCCATAAATTAAGGATAATTCGGAGTCGCACGGAAATCAAACTCTAAAATAAATATATCACCTGTAAAATCACTAAATACATCATCAAGAATCATTTGCAAATTTCAGGAAGTAACCAGACGACACCGATGGTACGTCACAATGATGAGAGTGTAAGAGAGTGATATATAAGGAATACAGGCAAAGAAGTAAAATTGTTCGCAGGCGCTTTATAAGCATTTCAGTGCGATAACCGAATAGTTATGACACAAAGGACGCATTTGGATGATTTTTTACGTGGTAGAATTATCGACCGTCTGGAATGTGGGCGTACTCAACTTGAAGTATCAGACGAACTTGGAATTGCCCAGAGTGTCGTCTCCAGGCTTTGGCAACGATTCAAAGATGATGGTAATGTGAGTAGACGTTACAACACAGGTCGCCCCAGAGTTACAACGCCGAATGAGGACTGGTATTTGGTAGTTACTGCCAAAAGAAACAGGCGGAGCACAGCCTCAGACCTGTCTCGTCAGCTCTCTTCAGCCACTGGTATGACAATTTCAAGGCAGACCGTGTACAGACACTTAGGGCAGATTGGTCTATATGCTCGTAAACCTGTCAGATGCGTTCCACTTACTGCAACTCACTGTCGCCTGCAGTTAACCTGGAGTAGAGAGCATGTGCATTGTGGACACCACAACAGTGGGCTTGTGTGATGTTTTCTGACGAGTCCAGGTTTAGCTTGCAGTCTGATTCTCGCCGGACTTTCATATGGAGAGCTCTAGGTACCCATTACCACCAAGGAAACATCATTGAACAACACCGTTACGGTGGTGCAGGAGTGCTCGTTTGGGGTGGAATTATTCTGGGTTCCAGAACTGACCTGCATGTTCAAATTGGGACCATGACAAGCCAAATCTATCAGGACGTCATTCTGGAACAACATGTATGTTTGTTTTGGGCCTCATGGGTGCACAGTTTGTGTTTATGGATGACAACGCCCGTCCTCACCATGCAAACATCGTAAGCGAATGCCTTCAATAGGAGGATATCACCCGTATGGACTGGCCAGCATTCTCACCGGACTTGAATCCAGTAGAGCACGTGTGAGACATGCTTGGCCGACGAGTTGCAGCCCGTCATACTCCTCCTACATGTCTACCGGAACTTCGGAGAGCATTGCTTTTTTAGTGATGTAATAGTCACCAAGATCAGATCGATAATTTGATACTCAGCATGCCTAGGTATTGTACGGACTGTATTGCATCGTCTGGGAGACATACACCAAAAGTCAGTTTCCAACTTACCCCTTTTCCGCACCTAGACCAAGGCCATCTTGATGGGAGAAGGCCAAAGCTAATGTTTGATGACGTCACCGTGATGGGTTTTAAACGAAGTGTAATCACGACTTTCAGAATCCATAGGAATAGCCCAATAACCTCGTTAATAAATCCAGTGTTGATATTATATTATTAAATTGTCCTACTGAATGTATAAGTTCTGCTGCACTTTGCATAGGAAAATCATCAATAATTGTTACAGAATTCAATAATCAACACATAATCAAATTCCCTCCCCATCTTTCTTGTTCACACAAACTATGGGATATGCAATTTCTGCACAGCTTCTTTTATTAAATCAAGTTCTAACAGCTCATCAGTTTGTTCATCGACTCTGGATTTTAAAGTTTCTGGAATCTGGTAGATATGGGACTTTTTCCTTTCTTCATTGGGTTTTAATTTTATTTTGTGAAAACCCATCTTTACAATTTTCACCTTACCCGTAAATAATGATTCATGCTTTCATACGAGTTGTTGAATTTGCTGCTGTTGGTCAGTTGTTAAATGTTCAAGTTGCAGTTTTTGGAGAGCAACTTTCATATCTTGAGACAAAGTTTGCGGAGTTGGATGAATCTGTCCAAATTCTTCTTCGTTTTCTAAAATAACTCCCACAACATTTACTTTAGTGATATACTTTCTAATTTTATTTCACATGAACATGTCTTACTTTTTGAGAGTTTGACTGTATATGAATGAGGTGGACAGTACTTTATAATCTCCCTGGATCAGTCCATCTTGCATAAAGTTTATTAGACAAGTCGGGAGTAAGCAAGTAGACTTTGCTTCCTACTTTGAATTCTTTAGGTATAGCTCGACGATTAAAGTAATTCGAATAAGCTGCCTATTTCTCAGAAGCTATCAAGGATGCGTGATCAGCTGCTCGTTCTAAGTTTATTTTCATTTCTTGTAAATAATCAACAACTGATTGCTTCATATTTAAGGGTATCAGTATTTCACCACTCCAACTAGATTTCAGAACTTTAGTGGACCACGATCTGGGCCACAACAATATCATTTTTCTACAATTTATTACTTTCAGGAGTAGTTTTATTTTGTGTTTTGCATTTAAATTTTTTCTGACAGTCTTTGACTATATGCTGGAAAGGTCCACAGATATAACAATCCCTTTTAAATGTAGTAATTTTGGCCAAAACATCCGGTTTTTGCATAGGAGGGGGTACATAGCGGGTACTTTTGGTTTCAATATTCGGTGTTTTCTGAGAACAGCTACTGATATCATTTAAAGATTTTCTTTTATAAACGAAGAACGTGTCACATTCCTTTTCGATTTCCATACGATTTAACCAAGTATCGCCCTGTTTTACATTTATATGCATGCTGTTTCATGTTCAAGAGTTTGCATTAATTTATCGGCTACAATTAATTCATGGACTGTATTTAAATCATTCGCATTCCTTAAGGTGCAATAGTATCTCCACTGTGTCATTAACCGGGCTGCAAATTGTGCATGTGTTTCCCCTGTCTGATGTTTAGCCTTTCGAAACATTCTAAATGTGCTTGAGCAATTGGCTGATATTCTTTTAATATTTTATTCTTAAATGCTTTGTAATTTTTGACATCTTCACTAACATAAATCAAAGTGTTTGTTGCATTTTCACCTAAAAGATTTTGGCTTTATCAAAATTTCGGCTTTGTATTCTTCTGACACATTTTTAATCTTAAATGCACTTTCTAGCGAAGAGAAATAAAGTGTCCATGATTCCGGACGAGTCGGGATGGATATCGTTAAAGTTTTTATGCTTTTAATTAAATTTTCTAACGATGTGTTATTCAAAAGATTAAAATTAGATGAAGCTCTAAGTTTCACGATTTCTAATTCGTGGTCCTTCTTTAATTTAAACTTTTCTAATTCTTCAGTTTCAATTCTTCATTCTAATTTTTCATATCATCAGTTATGGATATTAGCATAGATTTAGCAAATTCAGGATCAGTTTTGTAATCATTACTGTTAGTAATTTTATCTTTCAGTTCCGTGAGTTTAAGACTTTGATCAGCATCCTGACCTAGTTCTTTTGCCAACAGGAATAAATCTTGTTTCTTTAGACCTTTAAACGAGAACATTTTGCGACTTTCTTATAACTTCGTAAGTTCAAACTATTATAGTAACTTGTAATTTATCTCATTATACAGTTTACGTTCCTGCAGCTCTGGTCGGGGTTGATGTCTTGCCCGCAATTAATAGACCTTCGATTTACCTTACTAATTTATTCACACAATGTAAACTATATACACTTTATACAAATAGAAATATATCAGTTAATAGATTTGTTAAATTTATAAAATTACCACACTGAGCATTCGGCCTCTTCCACCAAAAGCCAGTCTCCAACTTACCTTTTTTCCCGCCTAGAGAGCGCTCCCTATTTTCAGGGTTACAATTTTGGAGGACCAGGCACTACAGTCCTCAAGTGCTTTGCGTAATCAAATAAACCCCAAACCGCTGACAGTTTAGGGATGTTTCATGTATTTCATATAAAACAACTACAACATTTTACATATGTTATGGGACATTTTCTATTTTCAAAAGACAGTAAAGTGCAGTATGTTTCCTTTTACTTGAATTGTTTATGTAATAAAATTTGGCATCATAAGGATTAAAAAAATAAGTCTAATTAAATTAGAAGTAACTTAGTAGTTCTATTTGTACTTGAACCTGATTTGCCTTCTGTTGTTTTTACAAAAGTTCTTCAATTCTGTGTATTATATTTTACTTCTCTGTTTTAAAGTTCTTTGGCAGTAGATATAAATAATGAAAAATCAATATGCATATTAGAAAAATTTGGCACATTTTTTATTTTGCTTTTGATGTGGTGTCTTTCAGAAGTGAATTAGATGGTATAGAGGAGATTGATAGATACCCAGATAATTTTCATATTGTACTGGGTATTGGAACGATCGAGAAAAATGCCCCTGACATCTTGTCAATTTGCAATGAAATCTCACAGCTGAAGCTAAATCCTCGTTTATTGTTTAACACTGATGAAGAGCTAGAGACCTGTTTATGTAGGTGTAAAAAATTATTTAATTTTCATTTATGAACATTTTCCTCTGTGCATGTTATTAATATATGTATTTATTTGGTTCACAAAAAACCAATATTAATTCCTTTCAGCCCATTTTAATAAGCCCAGTGAATCTTTGAGTACAAAAGGATTGGAGGCTACTCTTGATTGGCAGGAAAAAGAATCCTTTGTAAGCTCTGCATTTGATTTATCACTGCATTGATTTTTTAAAAAAAATCTTGTAAAGGTTGAAATTTTATGCATTAGAGGATTTGCATTGAATATGTGTTTTGTACTCTTAAGCAATGAAATCTTTATAAAGAAACTGAAGTATTTAAAAAATATTATAAACTAGGGGGCCATTGTTATTACCTTTAGCTATTATATTTGGTAAATGTTTAGAGTTCTAACATAACTTACTTTTCCTTTTGAGTAATAACAATAAAAATAACATGAGAGAGTTAGACAAATGAATTTCTAGCTGAACTTGAGCTCAGCAGGAAGATGGTATTGTACAAACCAAATCAGTTAGTAGCATTATAAAAATCCCTTAAGCACGTGCATATCCTCTTTTCACATGCTATCAAAGTAGGAAACCTAAATTTAGATCACTGCTTTGAATTAAGTATTTTTATCTCCTAATTTCATTATCAGAAAATAAAATTAAGTATTTTATGAAAGCTTAATGTATTACAAATACTTCCTGCTGAAAAGAATATCCATCTGACAGTGTTCAGTTTGTTGGCATAGAAAATGTATATCTAAGGGCAAGAATAGATTTGTTTAGAATTAGTTTAAAAGATTTCCAGAAAGAGACATTAAGACTCTTTAAGGTGGAATACTTTTCCATTTATGCTGAATTCTCAACTAAGTTTTCAAATGGGAGTAAATTTGAAAATTTTTCTATTAAAATTTAGTGTTGCTGAATTCTGAAATGAGCAAGTCCGATAATTTTTATTCCATACTTTAAATATGTTTAAATTTTATTGGAGGAAATAACTATGAAGATCTTGTAAAACAATGACATGTATGAGGATTATGCATTCCCATCATGTTTCTCAAAATAAATCTTTGAGGAAGTGATTTTTCCAAAATCAAGCAAAAGTGCAACTATTGTAATTTTTATTTTAAGTAAGCTTTGTTCCTTAAGCTCTTTCTTTATTAACAATATCTTAACATAATATTCGAAGAAAAAAATTTCTCTGAACTCAATTTTGTATAAAATAAAGTTGGTTTAATTTTTCATTCAGAAAACCATTTTTGTCAGTATATATTTTGTACAAAATTTAATTATAATTAGTTTTTAATGCACTACAATGATTAAATAGTGACTTATTTATGCAACTAATGTAAGAATTTAAGGAACTGAATTCTGTTCAGAATACTGATTTCCTATATTTTTTAACACGAAATAATCTAAATGCTGAATTTTTTACTTTTTAGCTTGCACAAGATGGTTCAGAGAGTGATCATTCCACGAGCCCGACTCCAACTCCAAGTACAATTGAAGATTTACAACGAAATCCTTCACCTGTGCCTGAAATTGATCTGTTAAATTTAAGCAATAGCTGTGCTCCTCCTGTTCCTGATCATATGGAGAATAAGGCTGCACCCATTAACCTCTTAGACATTGATTCTGATATCAGTCACTCTCCAAGCAATTTTGATCTCTTAAGTAATCCTGGAACTGTTCCATTAATAGGTTCATATTTTTCTGGTCATTGTTGTGAAAAGTTATAGTTTGATAAGCTTAGGTTTTTGTGGGAGGGGTTTGATCACTAATGTTTCAATGTTATTGCATTCATTATCTCCAGGGGCATTTTATAACACATGTAAAGATTTTTTGTGTATTTCAGCATGATTCTGTCAATTATCATGCAGGCTGCTTACTCTTATTCAACCTATTGTAACCATGTTGATAATCGTGGTTTCTAGTTTATCGTTTATGATCTTTATTGGAGTATTTTGCATGTAGTTTCATTTTTCAATCATTTTTACAATCTCGGGAAAATAAGAAGGCTCAGGCTTCTTATTTTCCCCTAAGATTCCTTCTTATGAATCAGGTCTGTGATATTTGATTGCTTTCTTCTATCCTTTCTTTTCCAGGTATTAAATTCTTTAACAATACTTCTATTAGAATTTTTTGCAAAATATTTATGAAACCTCTTCTGGGTAATCTACCTTGGGAGGGAACTCATCATTTTGATTAATTGGTAGTTCTAGTATTAAAGCTCCATCTGCTAAACATAGTGGCATAAACTTTAACATGTGGCAGAACTAACAAGATCTGAATTGTATGATTGGGATACAAAACTTCAGTTGAGTTGAGATCATCATTTTTGATATATTATCATAGAGATGTGATGTTGGTTATTATCTTGTTGAAGAACATTCTTCCTTCTATTCACTGAAATGGGATCTTTTGTTTAGAGGAGCACTAATTTTGTATATCTTCTGGCAGTAAAGATCTGTGTCGATGGCAAGTTTTAATTGTCAATAAATTGTGTTAAAAAATTTTGACTTCACCGATTAGAAAGGGAGCACCAAATGGAACTTGCCTAGTTAAAAATCTGATATCAAAAAAAGTAATAAATTGTTTTTTTAAATGAATTGAAGAACGCTGTACATTCATTCAACTGTGATTAAAGGAACTGCTATGGAACTTGCCATCCGTTAGATCTCATCTCTTTTGTTGGTGACACCAACTGCACCGTTATGTTGGTTAATTGGCAGCTAGTTTTCAAAACTCATTAGATATTCACTATAAGTAAATGAATTGCATGACACTAATGAAAGGACTGCATGATTGTATTTGTGTTTTGTGTATTTGTGCTTATCTCCCCTCCCCCGACAGGAACATAGGCTGCATAGTAATTTTTAGGTCAGGTTGCATTCTAATTTCATAAGGTGATTACTTGAACACAATCTCTCTTTATGAAAATATCTGTTTCTTGAAGAACCAAAATACCTATTTGGTCATCTCTTAGTAAATCCCAAATTGTGAAATCCATTGCAATATATATATTTTTAAATTGATTATATGAAATATACGATTGCTCGAGCTATGGTTATAAAGACAATTATTGCTAGAAAAGAAGGTAAGCCAAACTGATTACATTTGGCACCAAGGAAATATTCCAAAACGAAAAGGCACCAAATGGTATGGATATGGCTTTATTGGAAAAGTGCTTAATTTTATGATCTATGGAAGTAGTATTAATTGCATTAAACTTAAATAATTCTAACTGTACATTTCCTGAGTTTTAAAAAATATTACCATTAGATATGTAACTAAACTGTGAGTTATGGTTACAAATATCAATTTTGTTAATGTAATTAACTTTTTATGTATTTAGGAATTTTTCTTTATCTTTTTTTTTTAAAAACATGTTTTATTTGTTTGGAATAGGTACAAATAACAACGACTTGAACTACAGTGATGGTTTTAATGCATTTACTGATAATTTATCATCTTCGAAAGTTACAGATTCATCTGATCCTTTCTCCATATTGCAAGATAATAATGCACAGTTTTCAAATTCCAAACCTGTTGGAAATACAGCTGATCTGTTTGATCTCTTGGGTTCAACTAATGGAAGTGGATTTGATAATCTAAAGACAAGTGTTAGTGCTAACAGTACTCCTCAGGTTTGTATTCATAAAAATTCTGAATATTTGATATTAAGTATTGTTATAATGTAATTATGTTTTGGGGGGTTTTATTATGAACTGCAAAGATACAAAAAAAAAAAAAAAAAAAAAAAAGACGCACCAAGAAGGAGTTATCCGAAGGGTATGAAAATCAGTAGAAGTGATGTACAGAAAAACAAATAAATACAGTTTGAAAAAAATAGGATGATTTATTGAAGTAATAGAGCTTTACAAAGTGAAAAAGGTCAGTAATGCATTTGTCCACCAGTGGTCCTTATGCAAGCAGTTATTCGGCTTGTCATCGATTGATAGAGGTTGCGGATGTCCTCCTGAGGGATATTGTGCCAAATTCTGTCCAACTGGTGCGTTAGATCGTCATCATCCCGAGCTGGTTAGAGGGCCCTGCCCATAATGCTCCAAACATGCTCAATAGGAGAGAGATCCGGCGACCTTGCTGACCAAGGTAATATTCGACAAGCATGAAGGCAAGCAATAGAAACATGTGCAGTGGGGGGTGAACATTATCTTGCCAAAATGTAAGCCCAGGGTGGCGTGACATGAAGGGCAACACAACGGGCCTTAGAACATCGTCGATGTACCGCTGTGCTGTAAGGTTGCAATGGATGACAACCAAAGGGGTCCTACTATGAAATGAAATGGCACCCCAAACCATCACTTCTGGTTGCCGGAAGACGGTCAGGTTGGTATCACAGTGCTGGTCATTGGGGCTCAGTTCAAAGCAGGACTCATCACTGAAGACTATTCTACTCCACTCAGTGACATTCCAGTGTGATTGAGCCCAACACCACTGCAAATGGGCATTGCGTTGTACAGAGGTCAATGGTAGTCGGCGCAAGGGGCGTTGTGACCTCAGCCCCCTTTCTGTGAGCCATCTATGAATAGTCCTTGCGGTCACTGAAGCACTAGTTGCACGTACAATCGATGATAATGATGCATCTGGGGCTGTTAGTGCCTCTCTGACGATTGCTCACTCTTCACGTTCTGTCGTTTCTCTAGGCCTACCTCTTCCTTCTTGATGCTGTGTGCGGCCATGCTTCGCCCATTCCTGCCAACATCGTCAAATAGTGGCATCGCTCCTGTTCAAATGTCGAGCTATTCGCCAATAAGATCAACAGTCTTCTTTGAGCCCAACTACACGAGCTGTCACAAATTCTGACATCAGCACATATCGTTCGCGCACCTTTATGCGAGGCATAGTTACTTCTACCAGAGTACACGGAATGAAATTTGTGAAGCCTGGAATTGTAATTTCTCCTCTTAAATATCTTGCCAGTTGCACAGATCAGATGCGCTGTAGAGACAACCATTCGTTCATGGGCAGCCGAAATGTAAAATTTTGCATTTTCCGTCGAAACCTGTCCGCGTATCAATTTGTGTCCAATTTGCTTTATATCTTAAAAAATCCATATTAATACTACTAAAAGGCTTTTATAAAAGAAAATGATTATGTAAATGTTTTTAAAATAATTATTTTGCCCGTATGAATAAGATGAAACAAATGTTGGAAGAATGACAAAAATGAAGTCCAATTAAAAAAATTTGTATTATTTTTTTGAATAATAGGTAAATTTTCTTCACATTCCCCCCTCCCTAAAAATAGATGACATATTGTAAGAATTTTTCATGCTGAAATTAAAAATATAACGAAATTACAGGCATGTGAGTTTCCTTTGTTTCCACTACATATTGATTTATAATGCATATGATTGAGTTCAAATAAAAAAAATATCATATAAATCCTAGTTATTGTTTTATATATCACAAGTGGACATCAAATTAAAAATTAAACAAATTTTAAGGAAGAATTTTAAATCTAGGTTTTAAATAAAGCTCTTGAAAATAGGTAAAGGATGTTTTCCAATTGCTACATGACCCAACTGTATCATGACATTAAAGTATTATATTGAAGGGCAAAACACACTGAAATCACACCAGAAAAATGGAGCGTTGTCTAACTTTCACCATAGAAACCCACTTATCACAAAGAGAAATTGGTAAGCAATTTCATTCAATGTTGTGTGATGTTAAGCGCAAAACCTGAGTTACTTTTGATGAAGCATTATTCCAGATAGCTCATACAAGCAGAAAATCACACAAAATGAAATGATGCTGTGTTTTTGAAAAATGCAAGTTGTCCATCTAGATAATCTTTCTGAAAAATGGTTTTATTTTCATTTGATGCTGCTGTAGGTGATAATATTCTATGATGATGCCTAAAAAATGAAATGAAAACTCTAGTAGCTGTTAATAGATCAAGATCAAGATATCAAGGGGGAAAAACCAGGAAATAACTGAATGGGATATTTTCTGATTAAAAGGGATACAAAGAATAAAATTTATGATGTTGATTCCTTGTGGATAATATAAAGTTTACAATGCTGGTAATAGTAATAGTTGTATTAAGAATTTACATGCAAAAATATTAGTTTATGTTAGAGTGATATCACATTCAATTTGTTCATATGATTATGACTTATCAACGTGTATCCAGAATTTTGCTGTTACAAATAAGTTACTTTTATATCTCTCTGTACCATAAAATTATATTTATTTGATCAGTAATCTACAATTGAAAATCTCATCTAACTCATGTGACATTGTCCAAGTTTCCTGCAATTGAACATCTACATTTTCTGCAAACAAAACTGCTAAGCTCTGTTGTCATGCTCGCTTTGTAAAATAAATGTGAAAAACCCTTGATTTTATTTTTCCTTAAGAGAAAATTAATATTTTCTTCAAACAAAAGCATCACCATAAATTTAATTATTTAAAACTTATTAATCTGGGGTATTAAAATTATTCTGTTATTTGTAGTGTAATCTCTCAACACAGACCTTTCTGTGTTTATATTATTTCCCATATGATTTGTGTATTTAAAATATGCAAGTAAAACAATTTTCAAGCTATAAATAAATATTTTGAATTATTAATATTTATTTATAATGACCACTAGAATTATTTGATGAGGAGTATGTTCAAACTTCTGCCAAGAGGGAAAATCCATCATTTTGAGAAACTAGTAATTTTAGTGTTAAGAAAGTTGTTAAATGTAGAGATGGTTGCTTGAAATAATCTATTCAATGGATCTTTACTGCAATCAAGCTTTTTTATAATGTAATGGTAACCTTGTAATCTTTTTATAATGCAAGGGCCAAACAATGGACTCTATCTGCTGCGTTGCGCTGTAATGTTAGAGGAATCAGTAAGAGTGAAATCATTTGATACAAAAAATACTGAGTTGTGAAGAGCTCCTGCCACATCTGGGTGAAATGATATCTCAGTATACAGTAATAGAAACAAAAATAAATTGAGAGATATGTATAATGCAAAATGAATATCAATACGGTAAAAAAGAATAAAAAATATGAAAAACTAGCCCTTATGAGGGAAAAACTATGTACAATGGATACAAAGACTAAATAGAGAAATTATTGTCATTTTTCAGATATGCATTAAAAGGTCAAGTCCAGAGGATTCTTTAAGAATTTCACGATCAAACAAGTTAAATTGACTAGGCTGTTCACAATTTATAGGCTGTAGTATAAAACTTTTCGTTAATCTTGTAATTATTATCAGTGTAGATGGGCTTGTTGTATGGTGTAGGTTTAGTCTTATTTATATAAGCCAAAAGGAGCTTAACAGTGAATGTTGTCTTTCCATCACTCAGTAATAAATTGATCAATGCTCTTTTTAATTATTCTACTGAGCTGATCGATTTTCTTTTTTTAGCTGTGGATGCTCGTCATCCTTTCAGTGTTATTTTTAGGGATCTTTCCGGAGGCGTTTTGTATGGTTGCTTTAATGCTTTTGATCAATATTTTGACTTCAGAGTTTGTCTTTTCTTCAGTTCTCCAGTGTTTGAGTAGTAAGTTGTAAAAAGAATCTCTAATCCATTGTGTTTCCATTTTCATTAGGTTTTGTGGTATCTAGAGTGACAAGAATAGAAATGCAGTCAGAAGATAGATAACTTGTGTCTAACATTTAATCTCCTTTGAATATTTGTGCTTTAAAGAAGTTAGTCCAAAATAATCACGTTTTTAAAGCCAAATTGGTCCATACATATACTTATTCAATACATACTGTGAAACAGGTTTATTTTAGATATATTCATAAAGAATGTTTCCACGTTTGTTTGTACTTTGGCAACCCCATTCTGTTTGCTTTGGATTTTGGTCTCCAGCAAGAATGACCAACTGATTGTCAGGTAGGAGATTGGATAAAGTTGTTTTGTTCAGGTAGTTATTTTGAGGTTTATACAGTGTCTTTAAACATTTTCATAGTACCGAAGTATTATAGAGACAATAACCATCTTGTAGTTGTTACTTCTGTCTTCTTCTATTACACAAAACTATAACAAATTTCTAACATAAATTGGTTACACCACTGTCTTCATAAATGATGCGATTGCACCTGTACAATCTGTAGTTTATTAATTTTAGAAGCCACCTGCCAAAGATCTCTGTGATTAATGCTGTACTCACATCGTAATTAATGAGAAATTAATGAATAATATTCGATCTGTATTTGAAGTGTGCTTATCTATTAACTGTGGATGAGGAGGTGATATCTTTATTTTTGGATTGTACTTTTTGCTGGATGAGCAGTTGCAGATTTGACTTTTATTCTTAAGAAAAAAGCTAAGTCAGTGAATATTTTTTGTGCTTCGGTTAAAACTTCTGTGTTTAATCCTCTTGTTAGGGCTTGTGCATAATTTTTTTTTTCGGGGGGGGGGACCTATTTGTCAGAGCGTAATTTAGTTTTATCCTTTTATGCCTTGGAGAATTTATTGTAACTGCAAAAATGTGAAGTATATGAAAAACCACAGTTTGCACAGTAGGGGTCATTGTTTTTATGAGGGCACTCGTTTGAGAAGTGATTTTGCCCACAGTGAACAAACACATTTAGGATTATGATTGTATCCTGCCTGGGTGTAGTGGAACCTTTGGGAAGGATAGCATTGCAAGATCCCCTCCCAAGATAAATGACATCTTCAATTTTGAGGCCACAGAGATGCATTTCGTGGAAAATCTATTTAGACTGTTTGCTCACTTTTTAGCAGAGTTACTAAAAAAAGTGAGAGCTTCATTCTCTCACCTTCTTTTCTGCATGATATTTGCTTGACATTTATTTCATAGTTTTTGTCTTTGAACTCCTCTGTTATGTCTTCTATTTTAGTATCAGTTATTATGCTTCATACAATCAAGCCTCTTATCTTCGGGTAAGGGATAACATTTAAATTTAATGTTTATAATTTTCCGTAACTTTGTCACTTTCCTATATGAAAGTGCTGTTCTGAATGTGACTTTGTCCATCTAGGATTATTTTTACATCACAATCAGTGGTTCCCTCATATCTGAAGAATTCTGTTATTTGTTTCCATGGATGCATATTATCCTTAATGATTATTGGAGGTATTTTTTCATATGTATTATTGATTTTTGTCTCTTGTGAATTTATATTTCTATTATTTTTGCTGTTAGCCGCATTTTTATTTTTCCATGTGCTATTTTAGTTTGTTGGGTCTCATCAATAGTTGTGCTCATGTCATTATTTCAGTATTTAATTCCTTTTTATCTGTCATGAACAATTTTTTTCTTTTCTCCTGGCAAGCTCCCAAAGCTTAAGAGTAACTATGTAAATTGGCAGTCCAGTAAATCCAAGCAAATACGAGGTAACACCAGCAGCGATTGTGCAGACGGAGATAACCTTCAAGCTTGAAAGTCTCCCTCCAAAATGAGGCTGACCTTCTGCCCTGTAGATATTACTCTTTTCTATTTTGAGCCATGTGACACTTTGTAATTGCTTACATTATTCCAAGAAAATATTGCATATTTTCATACATATACTCTTGTAATTTTCATGGTGTTTTTTGGTTTATGGTATGTCACTTGATGCCAAAAGTAAACATTGGCATGGAATCTACCTGGAGATGGAAATAACTCTAAAAATATATATACAACTTCATAAAAAGAAAGACTATTTTATTAACTTGAAAATAAACGCTAAAAACAGAGACAAAAATTCAGAAATAAGAAATATGTATAATAAATTTCACTAGAATAATTTGAGGTTACACAGGATGCTGCTAATTTCATCTAATACTACCGTATGCATTTGCTTCTTCTTGTGCAACTAGTGCCAAATGAATGCAGTTAAATGAAATCCAAATAGTGCAGGGCAGTGCCGCATTGATGCTTATTTCAGAATTTCACACTGTCTTGCGACCTTTCAGCTGTTTGCATATGGCATCCAATAGCAGCATCACTAAAACTGCTGTAACTAATTTGCAGGTATTTATATCTAGCAGCTGGTGATTCATCCACATTCCAGCAATCAGAGGGAATTATATTTCCTTCTGCCATGTTTTCTTGTATTGCTGTAACCAAAGTTTTCATTGAATGGTCCATCACAGCCACTAGGAAACACTTTCTTGATTCATGCCATTTATGATCTGATAACCAAATGAGGCTCCAAAACTTTTGTCAATTTAATTTGCAGTTATGACAGGCACTGTATTAACAAGAAAGTACTATTTTTATTGTGTTATGTGTCATTGTGCCTTATTTGAAAAGTATATTGTTAAAGTTATAAATTTCTTTTGTAATAACATTTTTTTAAACCATACATAATTTCATTATACAATTTGCAATACTTAGTACCTAAGGTGTCAAAAGTTGAGCCAGGTAAAATATAGAAACATACAAAGTGTGTTTCTAAAAGGTTAGTAAGCAAGAATGAACTCAGTTTACTATTTGAAAGCTTACTAAAGCAGCTGTTGACAAGTATAAATTTTGTTATTTTTTTTTACTTAAGTTTTACAATATTTTTAGCATAAACCTGGGATGTCATCTAGTGCATCTGCATTCAACATGAGCGCTGCAGCAAATCAAGATTCTTCTCTAATGGGTAGTTGGGATTCTGTATACCAGTCTGGAAGTACAACTAATAATACTCCATTGGCAGCACCTAATGTGATGGGAGCTCAGAGTTTTCTTGGTCAGAGACTTAATCCAGGGGGTATACCACGTAATGCATCAACTCCCAACTTAGAAGCATTAGCTAAATCAGATCCATTTGCAGATTTAGGTATGGATTAATTTTTTATGTTGCATTTTATACATTCAAACTAGAACTTTTCATTCGTATGTAATGAATTGAAAAAAGTGGATTTTGTCTTTCAATCTTAAAATATTAAAACTTGTGGCTCAATTCTGAGCTCCTAAAAAAGTTTACTTATGTGTTTATCTAAATATATTTCCAGTAATATTTTCAAATAAAGTAATTTTTTTCACATAAATTATAGAATTTCTAATCTAGTTATAGCTTGGTTTTTGATGACTCCTAGAGAAAGTCTGATTAACAGGTACCTGATATTAATAGAATATTAATAACTTTTCCTAAAATTGGCTGATGGTGACTATTATGAACAGCATGGGTGCATGACTTTACATACATTTCTCTTACTGCAATTTTAATACACATCAGTTTCTAAGAGAAGAACCTTCAAAAAGGCAATCCTTTTAACTGACAAATCACAGATGCTGTACTATGTTATTGTATTGAATGCAGAAGAACTATGCTAATGAAAAGCTGAAAAGAATTGTAAGATTGTGACATTCTATCTCGTATGGGCACTTGCAGTCTGTGTTAATTTAATTAAATAAGTTTGAGTGAAACGTGCACACTCACATGTGTGCATATTTATTTATTTGTGTATCTGAGTGCATGATATGCATTCACTTGTGAAATATCTTCATGTAGAGGCAATATTTTTTTAAAACAGTAAAGGATTTTGCTTAAAAATTTTTTTTTAATTTGTATGTTCTGCATAAAATAGTTAAGTTTGATTGGGGTTATTTGAATATGGGAAAGCACACAAGGGTTACCTGCATAAAGAGAAAGATTCCTTCATAGAGAACTTTTTAAAGCGAACTGGCTTGTGTCTATGTTTCATATGAGAAAAACCATGCAACTAGCCTATTCATCAGGATTTGAATCTATATTGAATTACCAGTGTTCAGCAATTTTAACCATTTGGCTGCTATTGGGCTTGTACAGAGAGGTAAAATTCCATTTAGTAAAATATTTACTGTTCCCTAATTAGTTAAATTAAAAACTACATATGTATATGTTATATAAAAAACAATATGTATAGTATGTATGTTATCACGAAAGACCGCAATTGGAGAATGTCAGAATTCTCTGGTATGTGTCAACACATACCAAATATGTTGGCGAAAGACCGAATATTGTGTTTGTATGGATTTGGACTATCACTGGTTTATGTTGACAGGCACAGATTATGCTTTGGTGGAGGTCGAAACGAGAAGCCAAGAAGACAGACAGAGAGGTGACAAAATGCCAAATTCTTTATTTTGTCACAATTGAGGTTACATGGCATCCATTTGTTATATTTTATGTATCATTGCATGCATAGCAAGTAATTATGCTGATCCGCTTGTTGAGGGCCTGCCCTTTTCTTATCAAAGTTTATTTTGTTATTATATTTGTTCATTTCTGCTTATTAATTATACCATTACTGTATTATAAGAACATCTGATTTGCCACCCAGACGGTATAGTGGTTAGGGGAGCTTGACCAAAGGGCCCGGGTTCTAATCCCGGAGAAGTAAAATTGTCTGTCCCTTCATAGGAGGTAACGGTGGGTGCCTGTTATAGGTGTCTCCACAATAAAATGGTCACTGCTTCTGGCCCTAGTAGTGGCCAATGCCGTTATAGGCAAGTGCCCGCCATTTGTAGGGGGAAAAAAATCCGATTTTGTTTTATGATGAATAAATAAGTAAATATTTTAAGAGAATTTCATGGATGTGTAATATAAACATTTTAGTTTTATATTGATGACTACTCTTTGTTTTTACATGAGACTATAAAATTCGTTCATGAAAAATTGATACTTCAGTTTAGAATATTTTTTTATTGGTTTTTAAAGGTGGGGTGTTTTTGAAATTTTGCTCAAAAGGCTTTTCTTCTATCTCCAAGCTCTTTTTCTCCTTGAAGGAAGATGGAGAATACGTAATATATAAAAATATGAAGAAAAATTATTAAGAAATTAAATATAATAGAACAAATTTCTAACTTAAGTGGCAATTGTCCTTTAAGTTCTTAATTTCAGTGAAGTGCATCCCCTCTTCAAGGATCTGCATTATTATTTCTCTACTATGCAAAAGCTCTTGTCCAATCACTGTGCAGGATTGAAATAGAGAATAAGTTAGTGTGGTGTTAAAAATTCATTTCAGTAACACATTTATTACAACAGAATTCAGTTTACTTCCTGTGTACTAATAAGGTAGTATCACTTTTTTTTTAATTGGAGTTGGATTTTTCTAAGCTGTAAGTGTATGCATCTTATTTACTATTAGTTTATTTGATATTTGAGGTCCAAGTCATTTAAACAGTCTTTTATCTTCATTATTCAGCAGAAACAATAGTAGGATATTTTTATTGAGAAAATGTATCATCAGCCAGAGAAAATGTTGGGGAGAGATTGCAATTATAAGATGTTTTTAAAATATGTGAAAAGAAAACTGCATTTTAAAAATCAAAGAAATAAATTAAAATTCGATTATCAAAATGTATTGCAAATGAAAGTAAAATAATTTAGAAATAACGTTTATTCATATAGAAAATAAACGCACCAATAAAAGTGTTTTCATTTGTTTTCTGAAATAAAACTTGGTTCATCTTTTTAAAGGTAAACTTTGATTTGATTAATTTTTCATAAGATCAGTCTGTATTTAAAGTTGTTATGAAAAAGAAGGAAACTTTTCAAATCATCTTATATTCGTTCAAATGAAAGAGTTTTTTTGTGTAGGGAAATGCTTGTAAAGTGATATAATATGAAAAGAAACTTGTCAGATAACTCTTTGTAAGGAAAAGTTGATGAGTTTTGGATTATTTGGATGCAATATTCATGCGATTCTGTTATTTTTCTGGTATGAAAAGTCCAAATGTTCTGTTGCATGAGTATTTGTCAATGTCATTAGGATATATTCCTAATGACATTGACAAATGTTATTCATCCTGTGTAAGGTATTGTGTGATCTTTATTATTACACAAATGATCATTAAAATTCTTATTTTGTAATTTTATGTTATTATATAGGTTCTTTGGGTAAAATGAAATTTGGAGCTGAAAACAGTCAACCAACTTTTGAGAAACCCGTATCGAATACTGGCAACCAATTCCTAAATACTAGTCCTCAACATTTTCCTAGACCTCAGTCTTATGGAGGCACAACTAATTCGGCATGGCAGGCAAATGCTGCACCTCCTCCGCCCTCAAAGCCTGACTATAATCGAACTCATTTTTCAAGTGTCTTTGGAGAAAGAGATGGAGTTAAGAAGGGTGGAGGTAATTATTTCTCTTTGTGTCAGGATACTTTAACTTTAAACTTAAATTTGTTTTCATTAATTATGCATGTTCTTAAAATTATCTAGCTCCAAAGCCTAAATTGGGTGAAGATGAATTTATGGATTTGATTGGTAATCAAGGCTTTACAGGTTTTACTGCTAAAAAAAATGAAGGTCCAAAAACAATTGCTGAAATGAGGAGAGAAGAACTTGCTAGAGAAATGGATCCTGAACGTTTAAAGGTTTTTATTTATTTTATTTCATGTGATATTAGAGCAATTTTAAAATTGTATATGGTTTTCAATATGTAATGCATATTGAGTACAAGGTTTATTGAACATTGTGATTGTTCTGGAATTTTTTGAAGTTGAAAATGTACTTCATTAAATGCTTTTTATTGATTTTCAAGTCTGTTTAGTGTAATAAAGCAGGATTTTCCTTTTAGACATTGTCACTTTTAGCCCTGCCTCTAAAAATTAGCAGTGTTTAAATGTCCTTAATATTCTCTAGTTTCCTTTAAAAATGATTTTTTTTACCTTTAAAAGTCCTTATTTTTGGTTGAAGTTTGCATATTAACTTTAAGTTTGATATTTCTATCCCCTTACTGTCATCGCACTTTATATGAATATCAAATTCAAGTCACAGAACTCGTAACAAACTGGTGTTATGAAAATGAAGAGTAATCAGTCACCTCAGAGTGAAAGTTTTTGGGTGCCTGATTGGTTTTTCAGCTTTATATGACAGATGTTGAAAATTAGGATTCTAGGAAAGGTCACATATTTCTGAGAAGAATTCAACTGGTTCCAGCTCCCAATCATTAAAAGTAGAGGAAATTATCTTGAGCAGCATTTCTTGAACTGTGGGTTGCGACCCCAAAATTTAATTCAGATGTATGAATTTAAAGAAACATTAGTTGGAAATTCTTCATTATCTTAAATTTAATATGTTACATTTTTTGTGCAGCATATAATAGTAATACTGCCCAAGTTGAGCTCTAAATTACATTTACATATTGAAAAATATCACTAAATGCATAATAATAGAGGTATTGCATTGCAATGCATGTAAGTTATTTCAGAACTAAAATATGCTATCATTCTGCCCCACACAGGTGTATTGAGAATAAGGTTAGAAGTGCTATGAATACAGAGTGTTGACTTTTCTCCAGTACAATCATTTATTTCTGTTTAATTCCAACAAGAGTGTACATTACAAGAATAATATCATATTGTATCGTACTGCTGTAATCGACTAAGATTGGCACTTGTTTGAATAATTATTATGCAAGATATTATTTTATTTATATTTTAGGATAAAAGTATTTTTTACCCTTGGATAAAAAGCTGAAATTTATTAACAATGGTAAGACACGAATGGTAATGCTATAAAAATTTCTTCAAGCAAGATCTAGTAATCAAAATGAGGTATTTCAGATATGAAGAGGAAAATATGGTGAAACATTTCTCCAGTTCGGCTTAACTCTCAGTAACTGTGATGGTAATGAACAACCTGTTTAATTTGCAATAATCTTTGGGAGAGTATGGAAATTGAAAAGGATTCTTGAATCGGAACATCTTTCGTATGTCAATAAACTGAGAGAATATTTTGAAAATCTGTTAAAATCTTAGAATAATACATATTTTGAGAGTTTTGAAACACATTTTGAAATGCGACATTTTGAGAAATTTATCACTGTTAAGCAAAAAATATTTCCTCACTTGTTATGAAGTTTCATATCTAATAGCTAGAAACAAAAAGCTATACACCTTGGAGAAGATCTTATGTTATCTTCTGCAATTAAAATGGTAGAAATGCTTCACAGATGTAAGTATAGTGATGAAATTTGGAAAATTCCTTTCATACTTTCTTGATAGAATTTCTAAAATTAGTAACAACAAGTTCGAATAGCATATTACTGGACTTTAAAAAAGCCTAAAATTTACAGTTCAGTTGGATAAATTAACCGATATTTCAAAAATAGCTCAGTAATTAATATATGACAGATATATTTATAAAAAAACATCAATGAAGAATGATCCTTGTAGTGTGTCACTATTTCATAGTGCGCCTTTGTCATAGCATGAAAATACAAGATGAAATATATAGTAGTACAGTTGATAAATTTTTCAAAATTGAAAATTTTGCTGGAATATGCACAGCTTGTGCAAAAACAATGGCGGATGAACATTTTAGTTTTGAATCATTCATTAAGGCTTGTAGTAACGATCGTGTAACTATTTCACTCTGCCTAATCCAGCAAAAGGACATCAGCAAAAAAAAAAAAAAAAAACTTAGTGATGTGCTTCAGCATGCTGTCAAAATTATAAACTTTAATAAAAGCAGTGCCCTTAACAGCCACTTATTTTCAAGTTTCTGTCAAGTCATGGATTCTAAATGCAAAAATTTATTTTTACATGTAGAAGTAAGACAGATGTCAAAAGAGCTAATTTTATGGTATCAAAACTGTGTTGTTGTCAGATATTTTTGAGAAATTAAACAATCCCAACTTGTCTGTTCAAGGAAAATAGTAATTTATTTACTCTGAATGATAAAATTGAAAATTTTATTACAGAAACTAAATCTCAATGTGTCTGTGCAAGGAAAATAGTAATTTATTTACTTTGTATGATAAAATTAAAAGTTTTATTATAAAGATCAGTATTTTGAAGAATAGAGTAGGATATGATTTATTTGAAATATTCTTGATTATTGACAGTTTTATAATTGAAAAAATTAATTAAAAAAATTTAATTGAAAACATCATTATAGATCAGTTAAAAGCTGTATAAACATAATTATGCAATTACTTTAGATCAAATTTTAATGTAAAAAAGTTATCTTTGATTAAAAAATTATTTTTGATTGAAATTAATGAGATTAATCACCTGTCTTAAAAACCTAAGCAGACCTTAAACTGCACTGGAACCCAGCTCCAGAAGCTCTCAGTTTTTGAGATAAATCTTAAGTCTAGCTGAAGTGCACTAGAACCCTTAAATGAGAGGGTACTGGAATTTCTTTTATGTAACTGAAGCCAAGTTTCAGCAGGCAAATCTTCAGATTTTGAAAATTTTATTTTAATAATAAGCCTACTTTAAAAACCGATTTTAACTTTTGAATATATGCCTGCTATTCTCTAGAAACTGAACTCTTTGATGATCAAATTGAGAGAATTAAAAAGCTCTCACCCACATGTCAGTGGCTTATTCTCCAGAAAGTGCAATGAATTTAAGAAGTCAGATAAATTTTTCACTACCAAAAGTACTATAAATTGAACTATTTGGAAGGATGTAATTAAATATAGAGGATGAAAGCTATCACTTATATGTCACTTGTCACAGGGTCTTAATTTTTCTTGTCTTAGAACTCGTACTTCATGGGACATTTTTTATCTGTCACATTTTGCTTAACAGCTAGAATAATATCAGCAGGGGTCATGTTCAGAAAGTGATGGACTCTTCTGTCTTTGTTTTCACCCCTACACATTCCTGTTAAAATTTCCCATAGCCATGCTGTTTTGCCCAAAATTCCATCCCTCATCCTCGATAACCTGTTGTGGGTCCCTCATCAACCATCCTCTTATGATTTTCTCACCATCTAATATCCTTTTGCCCAATTCACTTTTAACTCTTCCTCCCCCCTACTTCTTGAATTTCATGCATATCTATTTGAAGATTTCTTAAAACTTCTTTGCATAAAATATTCTACATAACAATGCAGCATAAATAACTGTAACATATTATTATGTATTGATATAATTATTACAAAAATCTGTAAATGTGTAATATTCTAAATTTTAATTTATTTGATAATTACCTATATGTTTAGAGCATTTGTATGACTATTACAAAATGAAACTTTCTATTGAGATAAAATTTCAGATTCTGCAATTTAATTCTGAAAATTTAAAGGCAAGTGACTGAATTTCTGTTTTTGATGAATTTTCTGTGAAAAAATAGTTTTTCAGTTCAAGTCTCTATAATTTCCAGTAGAGTGAAATAGTTTCAATTTTAAGGCAGTTTTTTTTACTAAAGCATTATTTATCATGTATCCCACAAATTATGATTTGAATTTATAATAATATCATATTTATTACATTTTGGTTTTTAGAATTAGCTGAAGAGGAAAATAATTTTACAAAAAATGCTGTGGTGAGCTGTTCATAGCCCATAATTGAAGTTTTGGTGATTCTTATTTTAGATATTACTTAATTAGCCTAGTAACATAACCACAGTAAAAGTTTTGGTATACATATTTCAAATATAAAGAAATAATACGATGATAATTTAGAAGATTAATGCAAATCTGATTTAGTATTTAATATAACACTGGGTTTTGATTAATTGCAGGGCACACAGAAACTATCAGCTTAGTGAGAGGATTGTCTTCACAGAATGTTTTTTATCAGAAATTGACTCATCTTTACATTGTACATATGAAAAAATTCCGTGTAGCAAGTCTTTTGGTTAAAAAGTTACTTTACATGAAACTATAAAAATTTTTCAAGTTTTAAATAAAATCATAGTATTTGTTTAGTAAAAAGTATAATAGTTCCTTTGTGTGATTAAATCGCAATATTCAAAAAATGTTACATTGCACTAATTAAATAGTTCATTCTTCCCTTTAGAGTGTATTTAATTATTCCAGAAATGTTACCCTCCCCAAATCACATTTGACATTAAGAAGGGAGAAGATGCTAGTAAAAAATAATGTCTTATTGTTGTGTAAAAGTTTCTGTACATGGAAGTTTAATTTATAAAAATGTTATTACATTTAGGAGTAGATGCTTTTTTTATTATTACATAGGATCTAAAATTGTGTGTGATATGAAATAAATAAATATCTAAATTAAGATTAAAATGTACATTAAAAAAAAAGAAGGTAAGAAAGTAAAGAAGAAGTTTTAACAATCATGATTTGAAATTCATTTAGAAAATTATTTACTAATTGTGAATATTAATATAAGTTAGTGATGTGAAAATAGAGGTAGGAATTAAGAGATTAAAGCGATAAGGAATGGAAGGGCAGACAAAAATAGAGAAAACGTCCCATCTTTCCAACCCCTCCTCATCCCAAGCTACACAATGGCGAGTGGTAATGCCACTGAACACTGGTAGTTCACCTAGGTTGGATTCCAAGTGAATGAGCTGGTTGTAAGAGCATTTTCATAGTTTTTCCCATATACAATGTGGTTACGAACCAGTTGTGTTTAGAAGGTTCTCTGTGAAGACATTCCTCCCCCCTAAGCAGATATCCTTAACATGCTTTGCCATAATTAAGTAAATCAGACCCATCTTTGCTTCTGCCATGTGGCACATGATGCTGAGATTAAAAGGATAGTGGGAGAACTGTTAAAAGACACTCCGCAAGTAACAAGGAAGGAGGAAAGGCAAATTATCATTTTGGAAAGAACTATGTAACCAAATTCCAACCTTCTAGCATTCTGTCTATTCTTATTAGTGCCATTTTACCTCTTCTCATTGATGTGCTGGGGGAAAAAAAGCTCTTTTTTTCTACCATCCTCTGAAATATTGCATTATACTGTTCATTCAAGCCTTAAATTCAACTGGAGTCCATTTAAGCTATTCCTTAGTTTATCTTATAAAACTTATTCCACTCACAACCCCAAATAACTTGATGTCAGTTATTTTTTTAATTATTTAACTATTTATCATTAATTTAATAATTTATCTCTTTAAATGTCGTTGAATTTAAATTAAAATTATTATTATTTTAATTAATTTTTTATAATTTTTTATTGTTATTTTATTTATTTTTGCCATCTGCAAAATACAACTTCATTTCATTATTTTTCACATAAATTTCATTAGTAGACAAGGTACCTTTTTCTCGAAGAAATAGTGGGACGTATTCCTCTTTTGTCGGAAAGTTCCTAATTCTTATATGAATTAAGTATATTGGAATCTGGTAAAATAATAAAGTTTTGGTTGTTAGAAAATTTGTGCAGAGAATTGTGGGAAATATTTGCAGTGCTGATGATAGTGACTGAAACAGTATCTGGCAGTTTATCACTTGTGGGCAAGTATGGAGAAAATTGTCAAAAAAATGTATCATTTGCAAAACAGTGAGACCAGCACATTGGAAACATTGTTTGTTAAGTCAATTTCTTCCTTTATTTAGAGATTCCACTGTAGTACTGTAAAACGTTTGAAAATGCCATGGAAATGGTGATCACCATAAAAAAAATTATTGTATTTGCATGATAGTTATTAGTTGAGTAGTGCCTTTTGTTTGAATCATTATTTGTATAATCATATTAATACAGTGATTAAATTATTCATAGATTATGGATTGGACTTCTCACAAAGAACGAAATATCAGAGCACTTTTGTGTTCTTTACATACGATACTTTGGGAAGGAACTAGATGGAATGAAGTTGGCATGCATCAGTTAGTAACACCTGCAGATGTGAAGAAGTTCTATAAGAAAGCTTGCTTAGCAGTTCATCCTGATAAGGTATGTTTATAAGTCATTACTACCGAGAGATTTTTTTTAGTATGCATTTTGGATCAGTTATAATAAAAAAAAACTTTATTACTTAATTAATGATTAGTATTTGTGGAAAGGGCATAACCAATCTTTGTAGTAACAATTATTGAGTTGATTTAGTTTATGCCACTTGACTCGTATCATTAAGTAGAAATGGATCACAGTTTAGCTTATTATGCTTATGACAACTGTTTATGAGGTAGAGGAGGGCTTAACCGAAGTTCAGATTCTTAAAATGGCTTCTAATTGAAATAGAATTATTGAATCTAATGAAGTATCTTTTCCTATTTGCAATTGATAGCAGATTCCTCATACCATTATAAAGTAAAATGTGTGATGTGATAGTTTGCATGACAGTTTTGTTAGGAAATGGTACAAAAATATGCATAAATATGATTAAAAGCACATAGGGGATGTTTGCTGCAAGTTATATTCATGGCTTAAAAATTTCATTAAGAAGGGAATTTTTTATTAAAGTTGGATATGCATATTGATATTATGTTGCTGCATGTTGAAGTACAACAACATTATGGCATATTTCACTCATAATATGCTATTTAACTTTATGGATACAGTGGGACTGGATAGCATACACTTTGAATTGGATGTGCCAACACAGAAATATATCTGATTGGCTCAAGAAATCCAAATTGCAAAATCAAGGGTCTGAAAATATTGTTTTGAGAATGTTATTGCTTACTTTTTCAACATATGATATAATGCAGTCTTTTAGAAAGATATGTTAGCATGAGGTGTGTTTGTTACATTATACAAAGTTTTTGTACCTAAGTGCCAGATCAAATTAGTTTTAGTGGAAACTATTTTTTAAGATATGAATATACTTCCTTGAATTGCAGTACATTCTTTTCCTATGTCTAATACTTTTGGTACAACAGAGTCTTTTTGTTGTTTTCCCTTATGTTGGGATAAATAAATGATTGCATGAAAACAACTAAGTGAGAAAACTGTTGTGCATTGTAAATAAATAACATACTGTATTTTAAAATCATTGCTTCAATTGAAAATATGACTTTTTGAGATTTAAAATGCATACGCAGTGTGCATGACTTCCATTTTGTGCATAGAAGAAACCCTAAAACATTTTGTAAAGCTTTGTAAGTCTTGGCAAAGTTTGGTATTATATCTTGTTCATTTTATCTACTCTTTTCTAGACTCTAAATGAAAATTAAACCCTGAACATTAATAGGAATAAACTAGTGGATGGTAAAGAAATAAAATGTTTGCTGCTTGCAGTGCTATAACATAAGAAAATGGTGCTAATATCTTGGAAGCATTTGTGAGGGGCATGCTGGAAATGTTCCTGCATTACCATGTTGACAAGTTTATTGTCCAAAAAGAGGGATACTTACTACATAAATACCTACTATACTCACCCTCCCTAAAAAAAAAAAATCAATCTGTGGAGGAAGTACTTTTTCAAGAATCTGGTTTACAAACAAGCAATGGAGTAAAATATTTCCAAATGAATAGTTTGGATATTTATGTACTGAGAATCTGAAATGTTGAAAAATGCATATGGGAAAACAGTCATTCAAAAAAAGTAGATTAATATTCTACTGTATGTATTTCTATTCATTCTTTCATAATATTGTCATTGAAACTCTTACATCTTCATTTGCTATCTTATACAATTTTTTAATTGCTTATGATCTTCATTGCAATAAGGGTGAATGGATGTAGACATGGTTCGGTCTGTTGGGGTTTCTAATAATATTTTATTATTTTTAATATGAATTCTAGATTTAGATAAAACTGCTTTAATACATCCATTTGTCTTTTAATTTTTTAGCAAATAGGTACTGAAAATGAAAATCTAGCAAAGTTAATATTTATGGAATTAAATGATGCTTGGAGTGAGTTTGAAAAACAAAATAACCTTGCCTAGTCACACCTTTACACAAGTGCATACTCTTCTCATGGCCGTGATGAAATTTTGAGTAAAGTCTTTGCTAAGTGCAGTATAGTATGTGTATACATATTATATGTGCTTTGTTACTGTTCACTATTTACGTGTATTATATTTAACTCAAATTTGTATATTATGGCATTAAACTGTAGATTGGATGTACATTATGAAATTTTCGTTGAATTGAGAGACACCTTGTGTGGCCTTATTTTTGGTGCATGAATGTCAAATGAGAACCACAGTAGCTTGCATATGGAAGCATAGCATGTAAAATTTAAAAAAAAATATATTGTCATTTGTACTAAAAGTTGTTGAAATAAAATCTGCATATATCTGAAATTTATGCAGGCTGTTGTGGTTCTCATCACTGAAGACTTCTGGTCTTTCGTAATAGAGATATATTTTTCAAATCTGTAGAATATGTCTGTCAAATCACCAGTAAAGCAACTAGCTTCATTTGATATTCATTGAAAGTTACATGTGTCACTATGCTAGTTGTAAATTTTTTATGCATGTTTTTATTGTTGCTTCTTAAAATTCGTCCATTAATTTATGTTGGGAGATAAGCAATTACATTCTGAAGAGCTATAAAACTGTTGTTGTTTCATTAAATTTGATGTATGGTTTTAGATAAAATCACCAAAGTTTCCGCTTGTTTGATAGTCACATTAATATACCTTCTCCTGACTTGAAGAGAATTATGAATATTGCATTTAAATTAATTTTTTAGCATTAAATAGGAAAAGAGTTGGATGCCATTGCCTAAATGTGGTGATCAAACAGGTTCATATTTTTTTTTCTCATTTATTTCAATGTGTGGTAAATGTAAATGTGCCAAATATATGCAATTTTGATGTTTTTGATTATATATGTTAAATATAATCTCCATTTTGAATTTAATCATGAGAACAGATTATTATAAAATGAAATCATTAACTTAATTTTTACATTTCCTTATGTTGGAACTTTAAAAAATTACAATTTAACTTAAAATGTAATAATTTAAAATATAAGAAATAGTAACGTTTTGAGTTCATGAAAAAAGATAAAATATTTTCAAAATTTTATTTTTTTAATTGACAGTACTTAGAGTACTTTAAACAATTATGAATGTTTGGATCTCTTTGTATGCAGTATAGAACTTAATTCCTTTTTAGTTGTGTACTGGTCACTTTTATTGACTTTATGTTTGATCCATTTATGTGTATCAGATAGTTGGATATAAATGTGTATTTTCATTATATATAGACATCTTTTGTAATTATTTTTTATGTAAAGTCAATGAAGTTTCTTGTATCTCTTAAACATTCCTGATTAATTTATCTATTTATGTGTACATATTTATGTGTCTGAAATTTGAGGGCATATTTGAGTTTTATTGTTTTAAAGTAAGTTCCGATAAATGTGCTTTAGAACAATGTAGGATTTATTTTTTTATTCACCTTTTCTTGTAATGTTTATTTATTAAAAGCAAATCATGGAAGTTTTTCCTCCCTTCTCAAAATTCTTTACAGTTAATGTGATTTTTAATTTTTTAAATATATTTTGACTGTGATGAAACAAGTTATTATCTACAAAGTATGATTTATGTTACATTTTGTTTGATAATGAAAATGCCAATCTTGTTATTGTTAATTATTATAGATTTCATAGCCAGAATTCGTGTTAGAAATAGAAAATTCTGAGCTAATTTACTCATATTTCCTTACAAATGGCTTTGGCCATTTTCATACAAATATGCTTCATGGTTTCTTTTTTAATGTCGTAAAATAATATGCAGTAAAAATTGCTAAGCAAACTTGCAGAAAACTTAATGGTGGTCCATTGGCCTATTAATCTTCTACACAGGAATACGTCCAACAAAAATATAGACAGATTATTCATCAAACACATAGCCCTTAGTTCAGAAATGTTTATTTCTAACACTATTCTATTCTAATTTTTATTTTTATTTATATTATTTTTTTTTTTTTTACTTTTAATATAGAATTTTGATGGAGTATTATTGGCTATAGCTCCTTTATTATTTACATTTGTAAATAAAAGTTTGTGTTATCACATTCCATTGTTAAAAGTGCATTATCTTTAAAATTAGAGTGTGGTTCCCTCTATATTTGTGAAATATTTTACAAAATAAATTCTGTGTAGGGTAAGTAGTAATAGATCTGGAATACATTTTTTCTTTTCCTCATTGCCTTCTGGATGTCTTACAACAGGTTTAAAATGGTGTGGTCTGTTGTTGTAATTAAAGTACTTGATCATCTTTTAACCTTTTATTTTGACCCACAATCTTTCTCTTATGATCAGGAAGTAGTCAAATTTAAAATTCATTGTATGAGGCTAGATTAACTATGTTCGAATCATATGATGTTAAACTGCATTTCTGTACATACATATGTGATGAACTGCTATCATTCTGTAGAGAATAAAAATATTCCACAAGTAATGTACTTTTATTTATTTATATATATATATATATTTAAAATACATTATGCAGCAAATTCCAGAAATAAGTAGTGTTGATGAATTGTTGATATTTATAATTAGTAGTAAGCTGTAGTTAATATGTTAAATTTGTCTGTAATTTTAAAGTCCATTATTCTTTTTGTTTCATTGTTTATTTATTTCAAAAAAGCCTATATTTTGTGTGTTATATTCATTTTATATAAAAACATGAAATAAAATAATTTATATTATTTAATTGGCTTTAATAGGAAAGCTGCATAGCAAAATTCATTATGGTATAAATCATTGTGGAGACTATTTCTATTAATAGTGCAAAAGTTTTAACATGTTTTCAGCTCAATTAACAATATTTTTTTCAAAAAGATCTTGTTTGACTGTGTAACATATTTCAGATTTAATGATTATCTCCTTAAATCAGAAATATTTGAGAGAATCTAATCCAAAAGCCTACGTGAAAACCATTTTGAAAAATTATTGCTTAACTTAGAACAGGTTAGGAACACGGTACGTGGGGGCACCAAGGTACATAATGCAATTTTAAAATGCTCACCATTTAACAAGCAGTCATCATTGTAATGAATAATTTCGGGAAAAAATTCTTATTTTATTTTTTATTTTAACAGTTGTACAAATAAACTTTTCACAAAAAACGAATATTGGTCACATCTAGATAACACATATACAGTGAACTATTTTCTGTTCTGTTTATCATCATATATGCTGTTTAACCAAGCATTTTACATCCATAACCTGTGTTTGTAAACTTGTCATTTCATGAATTTGTATTTATAGTTGTCAACAGAGTATGTATTCTTCTCTTCAGATTAAAAGAAAAAGATATGACAGCATTGCTTTTTGATTGGTGTCGTTATTAATCAAATTATCTCATTTCAGCTGATTGTTGTATGTGTACAACATTAGTTACTCAACAACAATTTGAAGTTTTAGTCCAAAGGGGCTTTGTCCCTGAAGGACTTGTTTTTGTTTTGCGTTGAAAACTTTAGAAGGCTGTATCACTTTTCAAATGGTTGCCACCAAATATTGTACTGTTTCATATTTGAAGAAATTAAATAATGAAGAATCTGTATAAATGTATGTATGTTTCTCGCATTGTGGTAAAACAATGGTACCTGGAGCCATCCAGTTTTGAATGATGTAATCCTACTCCTAATATGGGTATTTGAAATTTGGAATTTTGTTTTATTATCAATTTCATATTTTGTAAAACTTTAACAAACTCAATGATTTAAAAGCGAGCAATGGCAACACTCTAAGGGGAAAAAAACTTTTTATCTCCAGCGCACAGAACTGTATATCGGAAATTCTAAAGATATGCCAATTTTAAAATTATTTTGCAACATTGCTGTTGAACTGAATTTTATGTTTTAAGTGCAAAGAAAATGATATTTTTAATAAATAAAGGTAACACATAAAACGTTAAAAAAACGCCAGTTTGGACATAATTTAAAATCTGAAACCTTTCAGATTTTTTATTTTTTTGCTTGGCTAGCAACATTTATGAACAATGTGTTAATTTTATGATTATTATAGCATGTTTGTATTATTTCTGTACATGTCCTGCAGTACTTGCCAAACTCCTGCATTTCTGAAATATGACCTTTTAATAGCAAAAAATTGTCATCCCTTATCCTAAAAGATAACTGACATAAAGAAAGAAGTTATACATGGCACCTTTTGGTACAAATTGTGCCAGAAAATTAAATTTCCTTATTATATGTAATTTTTGCAATATTTTGTGCTTTTTCATTAAAAAAATATTAATACACAGTTATTTATACTTTTTGTTTTTGCTAAAGTAAAGCATTTAATTAAAATTTCCTGTTTTGCTTTTGTAAAATGAAGTGCGAGCCCTTTGTTAAAATTTCCATACTCACTGCTGTTCATAATCAGTGGTGAATAGGTATTAGAAAATATCAGCTGTTTTCAATCAATTTATTGGTTTATTGTTAGGTGTCAAATTCTTAATTGATATTTGCTGTCATTAGAAGAATTGGAAGTATTTTGTAAAATTCCCGTAGCTGACTGCTATTTTTAATGCAAAAACTGAAAATTGTAATGGTAGGTATCTGTTGAATGTTACATAACTAATTTTAGGAAGGTATTAATATAAATAAGCACTTTTATTTGTATTAATTTCAGACTAATTATGCATGTAAAACAACATTTTTATTGTAGTATGTGAAACAGCTGAAAAGTTAGATTAAATGAATCTAATATAGCTTAATTCATTATTCTAAATATAGCTTTTGCATCATTATAGAAGTCAGTTGATAATTAAAACTGGAACTTAAGATAGCTGCTCGAACTAAAGTTTATATTATGGTAACTTAAGTTCAATTGGTTTCTTTTAATTCATATTTATATCATATGTATTAGAATTCATTTTTATTCTGTGCTTCTCAAGTTATTTTAGAAAGGCATCATCCAAAACTCTTTTAAGATATCAGAAGACTATGGCGATGGCTAAAAATGCCTTACCATAATCACATACACTAACACACCAAACGTAAGAGGGTGAACCTTGATTCGTCACTCCAAAGAACCCGTTTCCACCAATCTACGGCGCACTATTGACGTGCTTTCACTACATTAACACATTGAGCCTGGCAGTGAACTTTCCATGTGGAACTGGAATTTTTGTTTGGCTGCTATCAGTACTAACATTCGCGACCACGAACTATGTCACGCACAGGCAGGGCTTGTATGTTGGTAGCCGGCACAGCTCACCAGTAGATAAGCTCTACTCAGTTTATGAAGTTCTTGATCGCTTGTGCCGGCTGAACGGAAAGGATAGCAAATTCGGCGCCGGGCTAAATGTGTTAACCAAGCAATGCGGTTAGGATCAAAGGCTTGTAGGCAGCAGCATGACCATGAAAATCAAGCAGATGTGCATCTATACGGATGGTATTAATCAAAAAAACACTCCCAGATGTCTGTCAAAACTACTGGAGTATGTGGGCCATCGGTTTAGGTGCGGTTCTTCTGAATTTCTCAGGGCAGCCCTGTCGGTCTCTATTTTCCAGTTTCTTGGGTCTGCCAACTGAGGGCAAAATCCAACAAGCACCACTTACCTTCTACATGTGAATCACGTAGGCCACTCTCCATTTTGGGCGATTCAGCTTGTTAGATATGCTCCTTAAAAATCGGCCATTTCTGTGATACCCCACGATTACACATTTATTGAAACTGGATAACTCTGCACTTTGTGACATCTTGCATACGACTAATGCTAGTGTTATTTCCTACACGATATTTAACGGCGGAGGGTGTGACATATATCAGGGCCGCAGATATCGGCATTTGCTTTAAGTGTCCAAATACTGATTGTTAGATAGTGTAGATGTAGAGCAAAAGCTAAAATGTCTACTAATGGATTTTTTTTTCTTTTTTTTTTCTTCTTGTTACTGTTGTTGTATGTGTGTATGGATGTGATCGGATTGGAGAAGATTTTTATATTCTTAGAAATACTGGTGGTTTGCAGAAGGTAGTCACTATGTCGAGTTGCGACTTAGAATTGATTGAGGTCTTAAGAACTGGACATTTGCCCGGATTATTGTTTTGAAACAGAAATATTACTGTTAATTAATCGAAGTCTATAAATATTTTCCATGTGCCAAATTTCTGTGAATATATATCTAATAATAAATAGTATTCATATTATTGGAAATATTTGCCATATTTATTTTAGCAACTTATTTACTTCGGATCGGACGTTTTTCTTAATTTCAATTGGTATTGAAATTAAGAGCTGTGTCTTAAAATCATTGAAATACGATATATTTGAATTATTATTTGATTAGCGCATCATTTTCTTGTAAGTTTCTTCTTTCTCTTCTTTTGTTATAGGAATTGTGAGTATGGGCCATGTTAAAAAGTTGTCGGAGGGTGGTAGAAAATAAAATCTGAATTCGTTCTTGGTGCAGCGTTTTAGTTAGAACATAATACAAGTAATAATAGGCCAAAGGACAAAAAAATTAGATCAATGTCACGTCGAGTAGAAAATTACGTTACCTTAGATTTAATGTTGGATTAATCTTGTAATTTTAAATCTTAGAATTTTCCATCCTGTTTCTCACAACTATGTTAACAGCCAATACCTTGGAGAGGTTACATGTTAAATATTGCAAAACAGAAATTAATCGCTTAATGTACCAATAAAAATTCAGAAAATTGCTTTTTTTTTTTTTTCTTTCTTTTCTTTTCTTAAATTTTATTCCAGCTCTTATTTGTACTCAAAAAGAAAAGAAGCTTGAACATATTTACTTGGGTGCACAGAAATAATTTAATTCGGTGTGCCCAAGTTAACTCAACTGAGTGCATTAAAAGACTAATATATAATTACAGAGAAAAGTTCCTGAGGTCTTAAGTTTTTTTAGGAAAACTCTGTGATAGCATGAACTTGCATGTGTATTTAAAGACTTATGATTCAGTTTTGTCAATTTTTAGCTTTTCTTGTGGTCATAAAGAGATCCTAAAAGAGTTAATTAATCATAAAACTTAAAAATTTTGAATCCTGAGGAGTTTTAAGTTAACAGAAATTGTCGAAAGTTTTTTTCAGGATTTTTAAGTGTAACGTGTAAAAAAAACCTAATATTCACAGGAGATGCAAAGAAATATGTTGTGAATTTTGTTGCTGTGTATTCCTTTTGTAGGCTGTGAAAAGTTTACCATGTATTAAAATCTGCATATTCCGAATTTTATAAGAACCACAAGCATGTTACAATAAAAATACAGGTATGATTGGAATATTGTCCATATTGAAGCAACTTTAATTGATGTACGCTATATTTGAAAAAGATAATTAACTTGAAAAATGTTATCAGTTGCGTAGTCTCGTGTTCCTCGTGTCAGTTGGTGAGAGATTGAGGGTAGTTCGGTATATTGTGAAAGTGCTCTTCAACAGATTATTTATTTATTTATTACACAATACAAGGCTGATCCAAAAGTCACATAAATCAAACTTTTAAAGCTTGTGGAAATTCCAAAATGGATATTGATAGCAAATTTTTCAATGAGCTACACTCCGGTATTGTTACAAGTAATATTATCACTTGAAATTTCAGTTGCAGTTTACACTGTTCGCTTTAAAAATCGTTTCTTTGGTGCAAGATCGAGATGAGTGTATCTTAAGCAGAATTTTTTTTTTTTTTTTTCACGATTTAACATTACTTTGCTTCGTAGCGCATTCTTACAGAAAAGTTACTGAAATGTTTAATGAGCGTTTCCCAAATGTTCCCGAACGTATCAAAGACAGTGTTTTTCCACTTGGTAACCCGATTTCAAGAAAGTGGAAATATTAACCATAAGAAACGGTGTGGCCGCTCATACCTTCTGAGTTAGTTAAGGAATGAAGTCTGGGATAAAATGTTGCTATCGGCGGCAAAAAGTTTTAAAAGATCGCATCGCAATCAAAGTTATATGCTGCGAACTAATGTTCAATCTCAAAAATTCGTTCTGCTTGTCGAAAGTCACTTTCGTCTTGCACTAAGACTAAACGATTTTTAAAGCTAACAACATAAACTGCAATTGAAATTTCAAGTGAGATATTACTTGTAACAATGTAGGGGTGTCATCTATTGAAACGAATTGCCATTAATATCCATTCTGAGGTCTTTTCGGTTTTTGAAAATTTGATATGCACAACTTTTGCATCACTCTGTATTTCTAAATTATTTTAGCTATGCTGATTGACGCATATCTCCAAGAGCTATAAAGTTGCACATGTTACATTGGAGTAGCCTATCGTGCACTAAAAATATAGCAACAGATTTGAAGAGCATTAACACTTTAGGTTTAAATCTCTAATCCTTTTAATTATTAAGAAGTG